TTCTCCCCTTCTGCTTCCTGTTTCTATTTCCCCTCCTAGCTCACATTGACAACAGAGCATACATGCACATGTACTCATGGACACACATGTGTAGACACACAGACATACATGCACATGTACACACAGGCACATGTGCATGTGTACGCTCATGCACACAGACATTACACACTCACGTGTACACCAGGCACACATATGTCATATGTGGACATGCATGTACATGCACACACAGGTACGCCTGTATGTGCATGCCCTCCTGTGTATGTGTATGTACACATGACAACATGAACATGCATGCACGAGTGTCTATAGATACCTGTGTTTGGGCACATATGCACAGAGATGTGCATGCATGTACGCATGTACGCACCTACGTATGTAGATCCATGGGTGTGCATATACACACAGGCACCCATATATGCGTGCACACACACCTATGTATACAGATGGACATGTGTACACATGGATTGCACACATGTGCATTGACACATGTGCATGGGTGCATGGGTGTGGGCACATGTGCACACGGATGTGGGCATGTGCACTTGTATGCGTGTACACATTCACTCTCATTGTATATCCATGAATGCACATTTACACATGGGCATGCACATATATATGCACATGAACATGTGTACACACAAACATGCACACACATGGACACATGCACACATGTGTACTTGGACACACATGCACATGTATGGGCACACCTCTACAGGTATGCGTTTATGTGGATATATGCACATGTGCATTATGAGCACACACACATGTGCACACGTGTGTATTGCGTGGCACAGCTGCACCTTACACATGTGCACACACTGGCACACATTGCATGCATGGGCACATATATGGACACACATATACACATGTACACTCAGACACACAAGCAAGCAGGAGGGAAGGCAATTCAGAAGTGAGAGGTTGAGTGGAGATACTGTGAGGGACAGCGGGGGTTTAGCTGAGGAAGACAGAAAGCAGGGAGGGGAAAGTCAAGGACAATGGAAAGAGAGAGGGAGGTGGTCAGAGGGTGCTGGTGGAGGACAAGAGAAGACAGAAACTACAAAATCAAACATGAAGAGATAAAGAAGGGAGACAGACAACATCAAAAGCAGGAGTAAAAACAAAGTAAGAGTGAGGACCAAGGAGTGGGAGAGAAGAAAGATGGGGCAGAGGACGAGAACACAAGGAGAGGAAGAAAGGAAGGAACTGGGGAGAGACCACCGGAGAGGCTCTGTGAGCTTAGACATCAGGGTGTTCTAGGTCCCCTCAGAGCAGCACATGGCAATCTTGAATTGCAGCTCATTTAGGACTTCCTGTTCTCAGCTGTCCTTGTGAACCTTTCAAGAGCTTTCCAACCAATAAATAAAGCCAAACTCCAGGATCCAGCAGCCATTTCGCCATCCCTACTGGCTGCCCCTCCTGAATGTCCCCTACACCACCTGACGACCCGCCCAGCGTCTCCTCCAGCTCTGTCCACCCACCCACAGCTCCAGGCCACCTCACCCTTCTCCAGGGTCCCATAATGGAAGCTGTGAGCTATGCTGCATGTAGAACATAGTTCCAAGCCTTTACCAAAAAATTCACCTTTGAGAAGAAGGCTCCCTGAAACACATTTCATTTGCCCTTTTCTGAGTTCCCTTACTTTTCCTTCCATCTCCTGCCCCCTCCACCCCCCAACTTACCAGCGGGCCTTTTACCCAGCATTCTTATATAATCCATCCAGGAAGCACACCTCAAGCATCTACAATGTGACAGACACAGGAGGCTCATTTTCTGTCCTTACGAAGCTCACAGTGTAATAGGAAGACAGACATGGGTGGATAGAACTAGGTTTTGTGAAACCAGACTTCGTATACTTTGGGAGGTCATAACACGCAGCTTCCATTTTGAAGCCCAAGATGGCTGCTGCAGTGCAAGCCATCATGGCCTGATCCCAGCCAGCGGAAAGAAGAGGGAGGAAAGATTTTTTTTTCATCTTTAGGGCATACCTAGAGGTTTCGCACATCATGTCCACTCATATTTTATTGGCCAGAACTTAGATACAGCTACCTGTAAAGGTCAGCTTGAGGACTATGGTGTGCCTGACCCAAGCCATGGTATTTTCAATAACCTCATATGGATGCGAAAGCTGCACAGTGAATAAGGAAGATCGTAGAAGAATTGATGCCTTTGAGTTGTGGTGTTGGAGGAGAATACTGAAAGTGCCATGGGCTGCCAAAAGAACCAATAGATTTGTTTTGGAAGAAGTGCAGCCAGAGTGCTCCTTGGAGGCCAGGATGGCTAGGCTTCGTCTCTCATACTTTGGACACATTGTCCGGAGAGAACAGTCGCTGGAGAAGGATGTCATGCTGGGTAAGATGGAGGGTCAGAGAAAAAGAGGAAGACCCCCAACGAGATGGATCAGCCAGGTGGCATCATTGATGGCGTCAAGTGTGGTGGCAGTAGTGAGGTTGGCCCAGGATCAGACATTGTTTCGTTCTGCTGTGCATGGGGTTGCTATGAGTCGGTTCCGACTCGATGGCACCTGACAACAACAACAACAACAACCTGTAAAGGAGGACTGGAACAAAAAGTCTTCAGCTGAGAAACCAGATGCCCGTTAAATATCAGAGCCTTATTACTAAAGAAAGGAGGAGGATGGGACTGGGGGGAGCAACCAGCAGTCAGCATCCTGGAGGGCAGACAGAGGTGGAATGAGGGTATTGAGTGCCTGGGGCAAGCTCTAAGCTGTACCTCCCCCCAGTTCAAGCACCCAGAGCAAATTCTACATTACCCATCCCCCAAATTTCAAGATGAATAGACGTTGATGACCACGATGCCAAAGAAATGTAACCCCATCTCTTGTCCAGTTGCTTCAGTCTTTCGTACCAAGGGGCTTCAAAGAGTTCATGGAGAAATGGAATTTAAAGTTAATGGAAATTTCCCACGAACTATGTGGTATCTCAGAATGTCATTCTGTACCTCATCTGTCACCCTCTTGGACTTGCACTCAGGGGCAAGTGTCCCTTCAGATCCCCTTGCTGTGTCTCGGCTGGAGAAGCTAGGTGAGTCTTGGGTGGAAGGAGGCATGCTGCTGCCACTGGGGCTGGAAGGAAGAAATGGGGAGGCTGATGAGCTTGGACAATGGAAACTCTCTTGGCCACTTTCATGTTCTCTGCGAAGTGAGGCACTTAGTCCCCGCGAGAGAAGCTAGGCTCTGAGTGTAGAAAAGAAAGAAAATGTTGCCAATTCTAGTCTCCTGGACCTCTCTCCCCATCCTGTTTGCAGTGCCCACAGGGTGGGATAGCAGGGACCCCTGTACATAATGCCAGAGGGCTGCAAATCACAGCTGAGCCTTTGGAGTTCTGGGTTTCACACCTCTCTCTGTGTTAGCTGCTCTAGGACCATGGGCAGGTCAAGGAATCAGTCTCCAGTTCCATGATGGATCACAAGCCAGTTTGGGGCTCCCAGGAGAGCTGTGGAAAGACTTTGTAGGCTAGGTGGTTGGTGCAAACTTAGTGGGCATGCTCATGGCATCATCAGGGCAGCACTGAGCTTCCAGCGGTAGGCAGAGAAGGGCTTGGAAGAGAAGTTGTGAGGAGATGAGGCCCAACCCCACCCTTCTCATGCTGACAGGTCCTCCTACTCAGGCTGCCCAGCACCTAGCCCCCCAGAGTGGACCTCTGCCATCAGGGAAAGGTGACAGGGGAGAAGTGGACAAGTAGGGCCACCAAGGGCAGCCTCCCGCTGTCCACAGACACAGAGTCAGCCTCTGTTGTGTCTGAGATGTCTATCATGGAGCGTTGGCCTTCACCCCTGCACTTGGCCTCAGAGACTCTCGCGGGACCTCTCCCTGACCCAGGGCACAGCCCATGTTCCTGGCCTCAGCCCAGTAAATAGTGCGATTTCTCCCCCAGGCCTTTGGCCAAGCAGAACTGTCCTTGTCCAGTGCATGCTCATCTCACACACTGCATGCACACACACACTGCGTGCACACACAAAAACAATACACACATATACACCATGTGCTACACACCACACACACTGCGTGCACACACAAAAACAATACACACATATACACCACAGGCTACACACCACACACACCGTGTGCACACACAAAAACAACACACACATATACACCATGTGCTACACACCACACACACTACGTGCACACACAAAAACAACACACACATATACACCACATATTACACACCACACACACTGCGTGCACACACAAAAATATCACCCACATACATCACACACACTACTTGAGTACACACACAAAAACACAAACATAATACACAACACACATCATACACTTGCAAACATACCACATCCATATGTGTCACAAATTACACACTTCACACATCATACTACACACCATACACACCTATGCCACACACACACACAACTCCCACAAACTCCCTATATGCATGCACACATACCGCACACACTACACACAGAAACACAATACACACATCTTTATTTCTCATCTGTCTCCCACTCACACCCCTCCGTTGTCCTCGACACAACTGCCACAGTGATTTTTCTAGAAGACAAGTTGGGCTTTTTCTGGTTCAAATTCCTCTTCTTCCCTCAACGTCTTTCCAGACAACAGGGTAAACTCCAGTCTTCTTACCAAAGCACTTGAGAAGCCCATGATCCTCTAACCCACTTGGCCAGTCTGAACCCATTGACCTTCCCGCTGTACCACATAGTCGCTCACACCAATGGCTTTGCACATCCTCATTCCTCTCCTACCTGGTCCACCTGAAAACTCTATCTGCTCTTCAAACCTTATTCAGACTTCTTTTCCCTGATGATTCTACATGGATGTGCTCACTCCCTCGTCTGCCTTGTTCGGGTGGGCATTGGAATGATTTGTTTCCTATGCCTGCCTCCCCTGCTAGAGGGTGACCTTCTCAAGGTGAGGGGTCATGTCCCACTTATCTCTAAGGAGCTCGAGATCCTGGCTCAGTCAATGCCGGCAAATGGCACTCACTCTCCTCATCTTCCCACAGATCAAAGTGGAGACCCAGCATGACTTCCAGGACATCACAAGTGTGATCGCCATGGCCAAAACCTATGCCACCACTGAGGCCTTCATAGACTCCAAGTACGACATTCGGATCCAGAAAATCGGATCCAACTACAAGGCTTACATGTGAGTCTCTGGTACCGGGCTGGGGGAACTGGGAGGAAGGATGGGGGTGAAGAGTGTGGGAAGACGGGAGGTTAGAAATACAGGTCTATCCTGCTCCTCTCCTCCCACTGCACCAGAGCACAGATGGGTGGCCATCATTACTCTCCCCTTCTGTTTCCTTCACTGTCTTTCTTTGGCCAGTGCTATTGAGGGCTACACAGGGATAGGACTCTGCCTACCCCAACAAAGACTATTTTCCCCGAGGAAGACAGATGCTTGATATGCTGGGGCAACTGCAAGTATCGAGAGGGTGTATTTGTAAGAGACAAGATTGAGATTAGGAGACAAATCAAGAAGGGCCTTGAATGTCCTGCCAAGGGGCTTTGGGGTTTCTTCTCTTCTGAGCAATGAGTGACATGATCTAACCATCAGCAAAAAGCCATCAGGCTAAGTCTAGCCCTGTTGTGTAAATAAAGTTTTATTGAGCATGTTGTTGTTAAGTGACGTCAAGTCGATTCTGACCCATAGTGACCCTGTATAGGGTTTCCAAGGAGCAGCTGGTGAGCTTGAACCACCGACTTTGCAGTTCAATTATTGAGCATAGACATGTTCATTTGTCTATGGCTGCTTTAATATACCTGGACTGCCTAAACCAGGGGTTGTCAAATTTTTTTCTATAAAAGGACAAAATGGTAAAATTTTAGACTTTGCCAGTTATAAGACATCTGTCACAATAACTCAACTTTTCCATTGGTTGGACAACCAGAGGAGATGCAGGAAGACGACCTCCTGGAGAGTATTGTGAGGGAAAGAATGGAGCCAGTCCTCAAGGAATCCTTCTGCAATGGCTTTTCCACCCATGAGCTTGGTCAGCCCTGGTCACTGCTCTCAGATGCCCTTGTGGTGACATCTCCTCCTCCCGTCCTCTCCTGAATTGTGACCCATGCAGCGTGGTCGTTGTAACGCATTCCTGTGGCCCCACCATCCTTCCATCTTGACATCATTCCCCTCTTCTCCTCATGGTGAGAGTTTCCACTTGACATTGAGTACACCTTGTCCCAGTTTCTCTTCTTACAGATTACCTCATTGCTGCACGCTCCATGCTGAACCTCTCTGACCTGACAGCTCCAATTTGTCATTAGTTATGGCATTTCCTGGACCCCGGGTTGGCCCACATCCCAGGGAGGGGGATTGTGTCAGCCCTTAGGGCGGACCGACCTCCTCTCTGACCCACTTCCTGCCTGACTGTGAGCTTGTTGCTACTGAGTGTCAATGTTTCTAGGTCCTCTAAACAGACAGAACTTGAAAATAAATGTGTGCTTTCTAAGTCCATGTATACATACCTATCTATAACTATTTCAATATATAACTATCTATGGAGTCCTGGTGTGGTGCTATGGGTTAATGTGCTGGACTGCAAAGTCAGTTTGAACTACAAGGTCAGCAGTTCAAGCTCAAGAGCCACTCCTCAGAAACCCTACACAGGGTCATTATGTGTAGGAACCAACTCAACGCCACTTAACAAAAACAACAACATATCCAAATTCAGAGTCCTGGTATGGTGCTGTAGGATTAGCGCCACACTGCAAGGTCGGTTTGAACCACAAGGTCAACTGTTCAAACTCACCAGCTGCTCCTCAGAAACCCTAGATAGGGTCACTATGAGTCAGAACCAACTCTATGGCACTTAATAACAACAACAACAGTATCTATATTAAGGAACCTTGGTGGTGGAATGGGTTAAGTGTTGGCTTGCTAACTGCAAGGGCAGCGGTTCAAACCTACCAACCAACCCAGTGAAGACAGATGAAGCTGTTTGCTCCCATTAAGATTTGGAGCTCTGGTGTTTATGAAGTCTAGGAAGCCCTATGGAGCGGCTCTACTCTGTCCAACAGGATTGCTATGGGTGGCACTCCCCACGTAGGAAGGTCAGACACCAGACACAACACCGGGAGGATTGGCAAGGGATGTTGTCCTTTCAGTCAGAGGACCCCAATGCCATGAGGCAAAGGCGAGCACATGAGATCAGTCAGATTCTGCACCCCTGCCTTCCACATCAGGACACTTAGTGAGTTAAGAGCTTAGTTGCTAACTACAAGATGGGTTGTTGGAAAACACCAACCATTCTGTGAAAGAAAGCTGTGGCAGTGTGCTTCGGTAAAGATTCCAGCCTAAGCAATCCTGTCGGGTAGTTCTACTCATAGACAGAGCACTCTAGATGTTGACCAATCCACCCTTCTAGATTGTGAGCATGAGTCACCAGAAGTCAGCATCAACTCGATGCCAATGGGTTGGTTGGATTGGCCTTTCATGCACCGCCAGTGGGCGGGGGGAGGAGAGACGAGAAGTTTCTGGCAGAGAGAAGTTCCAGAAGTCCCATTCGCCTTAAATGCCTGCCCCTTGTTGGATGTGGCTTAGGCCCGGTCTGGGAGGACATGATGTTGTTGTTGTTGTTGTTAAGTGCCATTGAGTTGGTTCTGACTCACAGAGACCATGTATAAGGTCTCCCACCTTTTCTCCTACCCGCCTTCAGTGAGGCTGTCGTCTGTGTATCCTATAGGTAGATTCGTTTGTCCCAGTCTACATTCCATCTGTATCCCAATGGCTGAATCCCACTCGGACTGGCCCATCCATGTCCTCAGTCCCGACACAGACTCAACCATATGACAATTATAGATCAGAGCGTAGTGTGGGTTGGATGTGATTTGGGTCCTGCTTCCGCTACTTACTAACTGTGGCCTTTTTACAAGTAATTTCAACTGCTGAACCTCAGTTTTCTAATCTATCAAGAGGTGATGATGATAATAATCATGCCTATCTCAGCAAGTTTTGTGAGGTTGGAATGAGCCAGTGCTTATGAAGTCCTTAGATTCGTATCTCAGACACAGAAAACTCAAAACAAACCTCACTGCTGTTGAGTTGATTCCAACTCAGAGTAACCCTAGATAGGGTTTCCGGACTGTACATTTTTACAGAAGCAAATAGGTGATTTACCTGTCTGCTACAGAGCAGCTGGTCGGTTTGAACCACTGACCTTTTGGTTAGCAAGTCAGTGCCTAACCCATAGTGCCACTGTTGTTGTTAAGTGCCTTGGAGTCGGTTCCGACTCATAGTGACCCTGCACAGAGTTTCCGAGGCTGTAAATCTTTACGGGAGTAGAAAGCCTCATCCTTCTCCTGCAGAACCGCTGGTAGTTTCAAACTGCTGATCTTGCAGTTGACAGCCCGATTCGTAACCACTATGCTAGGGTTCCTTAAACATAGAAATCACTTGATAAATATCAGAGCTCACAAAACAAAGCAATCTGGCTTGTGTTCCTGCTGCCTCTGTTCCTTGGAATACTTTCTTTTCTTGTCTTGACTCAGTGAAAAATAATAGGCATCCCCAATGTGCTAAGAGATTGAGGATATGTCTTTTAATTCATATAACCCCCTATAAAGGGGGTACTCTATAAGGTCATTATGAGTCAGAGTCTACTCGAAGGCCACACGACAACAACTTAATTATGCCCATTTTACCAGGGACATAATAAAGACTCAAAAGGTGAAGGTACTTGCTCATGGTTATATGGTTAACAAATGCTGGGACCAAGTGCCAAACTTTTATCTGTTGACTCACGTGAGTCTCTAGCCTTCTCTACCACCACGCCGATCTCACCATACCAAGTCCTATCCAGCCTCTGATGTACATCACAATGACCATTTTCTGGGATGTCATTGAGTGACTGGTTTCTCTTTGGGTTCTCCAGAGCTTTTCACATCTCGTGTGCATTTCTGAACCTGTACTCAAGCTGCTGACTAGTCCATCCTTCTAGCTAATGAGCATTGTGATGTAGGTATCATCTCAACACAGTTGGACTAGTCCAGTACATAGGGTGGCCCGTGAATGTTTCCTGAATTGCATTGAGCTGAACTGGACTACACTGAAATGGTATCAAGTTTACCAATGTCACGCCACCTCTTAATAATCATGGCTCCTATTGGCCACCACCTCTCCTCAGCATCTATCCTCAGACACATTGTGTTTTCTGTTTGAGGGCAGATTTTTGTGACTGCTCCTCTCCCCTGCTTTAATCTCAGTGGCATGCCTTCCCTTCACCACAAAACAAATAGCTTTATCTGCGCCACTTGGATTAAACATGTTCAGGCCTTGCCCACTCTAACAGTGTCGCAGAGCCATGGAGATGCTTGTGGGGGCCCTACCCTACAGACACAGTCCCTCTCCCTGTCTGTGGTCAGAGAACACATGCTACAGGCCAGGCCCCTACTGAACACCGGGGGTATAGTGGGAAGGAAGCCTGCCCTCAGGGGCTTCTCCTCCATTCTAGGAAGACAGTACAATAGAGCTGTATCTATATAAATATATATAAATGAGATATGTATGACTCAACATTGGCATAGGGTACAGTGAGGAAGGCACAGATCAGATGAAACCTGAAGGAGACACAGCAGTTGCGGTATAAACACGAGGTAAAGACTGAATCTGGCAAAGGAAAGGCTGTGTGTGGAGGCCTCAACATAAAAGAGTCCTGGGCATTGGAGAAGTGGAAAGGAGGTCAGCTGTTGTTGGAACAGAAAGTGTAGAGGAACAGGGAAGGGGAGTAGGGCAGGCAAAGGCCAGTAGGCCTCCCAGCTCCTCGCTGTCGAAGAGTAATTGCGTCTCTCCAGGGATCATTTTTCTTACATTTTGAGGCCCTCAAAAAATTCCAGAATCACCTCAGACTACACTGCCCTGGTTTTTCTTCTTAAATACAGGATACCAAGGTTTGGGGGATTACATTTGATAGTGTGGGCTTTTTTTTTTCTTTTTAATTTAATTTTTTAATTTCTAAGGTGACTTAAAGAAAGATACAGAAGATCAAGTGAATTAATAAGGCAGTCAACATGAAGAGAAATAAAAGCAGAAAAAATAAAGTTGAGGACAGATATGTACTTAAGGATACATGATGATGAACTTGACCTACACCTATGGAAGCAGTAGCTCAAAAGAGGGAACAAATCTTTACAGCGAAAATCATTACCACCCCCTCCATACACAAAGTAGACAGAGATGGGCAACTTGGACATTGGCTACCCAAAATGGGGGGGCTAAAAAGGCAAGAAGTGAATGGCTTACAAGCTTTCAAGAGGGAGCCTAGATCCAGAGGGCGCAGAGGAAAGTACAATGTCCACTGAGTAGTAGCCAATCTGTCTAGGCGGGAATGCGGATGGGTCTCTTGTGATACAATAATGAATAATTGTTATCAGGACTGACTGTGAGGATTGAAAATGTAAAGGCAGGCGTTTTGTAGCAAAAGGAGGGGAGTAATTGACTTTGCAGTCTAGGAGCGGAGGTCCCTGGGACCATCAAGGGAGAAGAGCAGAGAGCGGGACCAGAGATGGAGGCAGAGACGATGCCAGAGAAGGCTTTAGACACAGAGAGGGCGAGGGGCTGTGTGCTGATGACTGGGGGGCAGTCTTGTAGGGTAAACCCTTTGGTTGGTTGATTTGCCATGAATGCTTGGTGCAGGCCCCAATGCATGGAGGGGATTGTAACCATGGCAATGAAACAATATACAATAGGATGAATGTAAAGTTAATGTTCTCCCATGTAAACCATCACATAATTCATAATAAAACATTAAAAAAAAAACTACATGACAGGTGTTCCTAATTCCTTGGGTGGTGCTGTTTGTTCTGACACAGGAGAACCTCAATCTCTGGGAACTGGAAGGCCAACACGGGTTCTGCCATGCTGGAGCAGGTGGCCATGACAGAAAGGTAAGAGACTAAATAAGAGTTGTGGGAACAGGCACCATCCATGATGGGAATTGGAGGAGAGATACAATAAGGAGCCTCCTCACCTCATGTCCAGTGCCTCCTGACCCCTAGAGGACTCTGCTAGGCGCGATCTCCTACTCCCCACAATAACCCTGCAGGGTTAAGTGCCATTGAGTCCATTCCGTATAGGGTTTCTGAGGAGCGGCTGGTGGATTTAAACTGCCATCTGTGTGATTAGCAGTCCAGTGCTCATCTTATAGCATCACACTTGGTAGGTATTGTAAATAACAAGAAAGTTCAGAAAGAAGAAATGACTTGCCCAAGTCAAGAAACTGACCAATGGCAGAGCTGAGTAGCATGTTGATGTCTTGACTTCACATCCGGGGATCTTCCTGGCCCTGTCCCGCTGCTTCTCCTCTCCTGGGTTCTGACAGATGCAAGTGAGGAGCATCCTTCACAGGGGCCTGGAGTCCTCTTCCCTCTCAGGCTTGTTTCCATCTCAGTATGAATAGGGACAGCCTCGGAAGCCCTACACAGGGTCGCTATGAGTCGGGGGCCAACTCCACAGCACATGACCACCACCATCCACCATGAATAGAAAAGGAGTCCTCGTGTGGCGCTGTAGGTTAAGCAGTTCACCACAGATCGGTTTGAACTGCAAGGTCAGTGGTTCAAACGCACCAACCGCTTCTGGTAAACCCTATACAGGGTCACTATGGGTTGGAACCAACTTGACAGCAGTTAACAACAACAATTAATAGGAAAGGAGTCCTGGTGTGGTGCTGTAGGATAAGCACTGAAACACAAAGTCAGTTTGAAATGCAAGGTCGGTAGTTCAAGCTCACCAGCCACTCCTCGAAAACCCTATACGGGGCCACCATGGGTCATAACCGACTCTACAGCATTTAACAACACAACATGAATATGTAAAGGCTGATTTCCCATGAATGCTCGGTTCAGGCCCCAGACAGAGGCCCTCTCTCACTTGGTGTACTTTAAAGACCATTGTGTGTCCCAGTCACCTGGAGAAGGGCCCAGCCATTGCCTGTCACCAACACACACATGTCCTTTGCTGCATTCCCAGGGGCCTCTGCTTGCAAACATGTAATAGTAGTGGACAGAATGTGGACTTTGAGGTCAGAAAGTTCTACACAGTAAATATTTCTTGAGTACCGCCATGGTGTGCTGAGCAATAGAGACCAAGGTGAGAAGAATTCTGTATCACTTAGAAAAGGAATCCCTGGATGGGGCAGATGGTTAACGTACTGGCTCCACTGCCACTTCCTAGCTGTGTGACTCTGGGTAAGTTAACTAACCTTTCTGAGCCTCTTCAAGTCAGAGTGCTATTTGAGAACCAAATGAAAGCAGGATGTGCAGGGGTGCTGTAAGGATTGGCCTCCTTCCCTGCTCATCAACCCCAAGTAACTGGTACTACCGTCAATCTTGGGACATACCTGAACTAGCTGGTCTCATGGGGACTCACCTATGCTAGCTGGTCTCATTATCTGGCACACTGAATTGTCTGGTCTAAGGCAGTCACTCCCCTCCTCCAATGGACATTCCTGGGACATATGTGACCGTTTTCATCCTGGCCTTTCCCAAATATGAGTCTAGGCTTCCCCAGCTAATCATGGATATTCCTAGCAGGCTACCATCTCCCCAGCCCTACTTGGTCCCAGGTCACATGGAATATTCCTGCAGGTTCTGACATGGGAGTAGACCTACTCAGACCTGGAATTCATTTTCCCTTCTGCAAAGTCTCCAGGGCAGGACGCAGCTCCCCAGTGCATCTACATGAGGGGGCAGTGCCTGGGGCCCACACACAGCCTGTGAACCCTTTCCCTCACTCCACTTGGCTCACCTGTTGGCCGTGTTGCCTGCCTCCATGTGGTTTGGTTGGTGTTAGTCCCCCCTGACTGGAGAGGGCATGAACCCTATGTTCTCCAGCCTCTCTCACACTGCTTCCCCCTTGGAGTCCCTTCCTTGGGCCTGGGGGGCCTGGGGCCTAATGAGATGAAGGCAACAGGTGACCCAGAAGTTTATGGTTTGTACACAGTCTCTGGGCTAAGCTTCAGGCTCCTGGGCTCTATTTAGAAGAAATCTGATTTATGGGTGTGTTTTGGGATGCAGAAATCCTAATGGGGTACCCCACAAGTACAGAGAGCACAGATCTCCTTAGAAATCTGAAGGCCAGGTGTGCACCCCAAATCTGGCTGCACATAAGAATCACATTAGCAGCCTTTAAACATTATATTCTCATAACATAGAGCAGGAGTCCTGGTGCAGCGCTGTAGGATAAGCACTGGCCTGCTAACCACGAGGTCAGCAGTTCAAACCCACCAGCTGCTCCTTGGAACCCCTATACAAGGTTGCTATGAGTGGGTGCTGACTCATAACAACAACGTAGAGCAAAGTCCCAAATCTGGTGTGTGTGTGTGTGTGTGTGTGTGTGTGTGTGTTTGCCTCTCTTGGCCATTCTACTGCACATTCACAATAAGTCACAATTCCTCCCATTTTACAGATAAGGAAATGGAGACTGCAAGAGGGAGAGGATCACCCAGAATTATTCAGGAAGAGTAGCTTGCTGGAGTTAGCAGTCAAGGATATTAACTGCACCGTTAGCTTAAAGGATAGTTTTGGTTTACCTAGAGGCACATTGGAAGAAAATTCTGGCAATCTACTTCTGAAAACTCAGTCATTGAAATCCCATGGAGCACAGTTCTACTCTGACACAATGCGGTCACTGAATTGGAGTTCACTTGACAACAGTGTGTTTTCTTTCAGTAGACATGCTTGGTCTCTGGAGTCAGAGTCTGGGTTTCAAAGCTGGGACCATCACTCATGAATCTCTCTGAACTTCAGTTTCCTCTTTAGTAAAATGAGTTAAAACTTCCTGGTCACATTGTTGTGAGATTCGAGAAAAAGAGAGAAACTCCCCATGCCTGGCAAGTAGGAAGAGCTCACCAGGCTTGAGTTTCCTTCCCTCCTTTGTCTTCCAATATATCCCAGGCTTCTCACTAGGGTTCAATGAGAGAACTGGACCAACTGCCTTGCTGTGTGACCTGGGCAAGCCACTCTCCCTCTCTGGGCCTCTGGGAGCATTGGTAGATGAGAGCGTTTGTCTAAGACCACTTCAAGCCTTGACCTCCTCATTTCTGTTCTACAGCCCAGAGACACAAATAGAGCTCAGTGTAGGCATGCCTCGTGTGACCCCCAGAGGATGGGGAAAGAAGTATGAACACACTAACACAAAGTCCTCTGTGACTCCCAGATCCAGCCACAGGCAAGGGAAGCCAGATGCCTGGAAGACACTTCTGTATACACCCCCAGCTCATGAAGGTCTCTCCCCTGCAAAGCCAACCTTGCAGCCATCAAAATGGCTGGAGAGGGAACAAAAGCTGAGAGGTCAGGAGGCTGCCAGGCTCCCTGCCAGCCCAACCCGGCTCCAGCGAGAATGCACCCTTTGTCCCCCTCTAGCTCTGGTCTGGCCTGGGCCCTGGAGGCTGGGAGGGCCTTCTGGAACCCTTGAAGCAGCTTTCCCAGGGGAAAAGGGTGCGGGAGTGACTGGGTATCAGAATGGCACTGGATGGGCCAGAAACGGCTGCCCACTGCTGGGGAACCAGCGAGGTCCTGGGGCTGTCTCCCAGCTCTCAACTCCATATCTCTCTTTCTTGCATCTTTCCTCTCTGTCCTTCCTGGCTCCTACCCGGCCCCCTATCTCGCCTCTGTCCCTCTCTTTGGCTCTCCCCAAGGTGTCTGCCTCCATTTCCCCCACCCACTGTTCACACTACCTCTCGGTTTCTACATCTGTGTCTCATCTCTCTTGCTGCATCTCTGCCTCGTTCTTTGTGTCTCTCTCAGTGTATATGTCTCTTCCATCTCTGTCTGTCTGTCTCTGCCTGTATGTCTATCTCTGATTGTCTCTGAGTGTGTCTCTCCATCTTTCTCTGAGCTTATGTATCTCTCCATCTCTGTCTCTCGGGGTATATATGTCTCTCTATCTCTGTCTGTTTCTCTCTGAGTGTATGTATCTCTCTGTCTCTGTCTCTCTCTGGGTGTGTCTCTCTCTCCATGCCTCTGTTTCTCCCTTCTCTCTCCCTTCCCTGCCCCTCCTCACACTCACTGTCTCTCCCTCCATCCCTTCAGGTACCGGTTGTGGGTGGACAGCTGCTCGGAGATGTTTGGTGGCCTGGACATCTGTGCTGTCAAAGCCGTCCACAGCAAGGACGGCCGAGATTACATCATCGAGGTGAGGAGTGAAGCAGTAGGTCCTCCCTCCAGCCCAGCCCCCACACAGCCCATACTTCAGTGAGCAGCTTCTGGAAGCTTCTCAACAACTGCCCTCATATACTTCCCCATCCCCACCGTCACCATGGCAATTGCCCAGAGGTCTTGAACTGCGCCTCCAGAGCCCAGGCCATGAGGTGTGACCATTTCTCCCCCATCTGGGATCAAGAGTCAGTAAGAACCTGTCCCACTGGGCCTCTTCAGTTTCCTCAATGTCCAAGTGAGATTTGGAGACTCAATAAGCATGTTCTTAGGGGCTCTCATGGGCTGGGGTCTGGGTATGTAGCGTTGAACTAGACAGACATGGAGTTTGAAGGCTGGAAGGGAATAAGGGTGAGAAAGGAGTGGTGGAGGTAGGGTGCTGGAGGCTAGAAAAAAGAGGTTGTCCTGCAAAAGTGGAAGTGGAGGAGAGGGTGTGGGGAATGCTGGAAGGGAGAGGCCTTCAGTGGAGCTGTGGGTCTTAGGATCTCTCCCACAACCCTCTTGCTGTCCAGGCCTCTCACAGGCCCACAATTTCTGGGGTTCTTATGTCTCTGTGGTCAAGAATCCTCCTCTCCCAATCCCACAATCCTCCTCTCCTTCAAGGTTCCTCCCACATCTTTCATAGTCTCACAATCCTCCTCTCCCTCAAACACCTTCCCACAGTGCTTCTCCCAATCCCACAATCCCCCTCTCTCCTTCATAACTATTTCCCCCTGACCTTTCATGGTCCCACAATCCCCTCTCTTTCCTCAAGGACTCTCTCCACGTCTCTCATGGTTCCACAATCCTCCTTTCCCCTCCACAGGTCCCCTTGAGTGCATCTCCCAGCCCCCCAGCCCCCATCTCTACCTCCTCCCATATTGCTTATGATCTCTCAACCCTCCTTTTCTATCACTCAGTACTTCTCACAATCCCTCAATCCCCATCTCCTCCAGGACTGTTTCCCCATGTCTCTCAATCCCACAATCCCTTACTCTACGCTCTCTCTTCAAACCACGTCTCTCCCTCTCCCCCATATTTTTCATGGTCCCATAATCCTCTTTTCACAATTCCGTAGTCCCCCATCTCTCTGACTCCACTGCCTTTCATTGTCCCACTATCTTCCTCTTCTGCCAACTTCTCCATGCTTCTCCCTCACCCACAATCCTCTTCCGTCCTCTTCCCTCTTCACCTTCCTCTTCCTCCCCCCACACTTCGTTGGCTCTGCCAGTGTTTTCCTCCAAAAATACCCCTCTGTGCTCAGTGCTTTCCCTCCCTGACTTCCATCTCCACACGCCCCCAGCACCCCTTTCAGCTCCTTCTGTGGCCTCTCCTCAAACCACAGCAGAGAGGTGGTGGTGACACATGACCCCTCCCGGGCTGCCTCACTCCCCAGAGACCCCACCTCAGCAGGAGGCAGTGACTCCACCGCCCTCAGCCTGCCGGTCTCCATCAGCCATGGCAGGAGTAGCTACCCTTCAAGGAGGCACCAGGAGAAAGTCCACAATGGACACAGACTTTCCACCCTCTCCAGAAAGGCTGAGAAACTCCCTCAGGACCAGAAACGTCTATATTTGCAGATCTGTCCTCAAACCCAGAAATCTCTTTCTCTCTGACTCCATCCTGCCACTAGCTCCTTCATGGGGAAGACATTCAAGGGCTCCGAATAGAATGGCTGACCAAGCACACTTGGTGCCAAGCCCCAGTCAGACTGCTCTCCCTGGAGGAGCCTGTTCCCCATCCTCCTGGGAAGGGCCTGTGGCCCCTGAGATCCCACCTGGCCCTCCTGCCTCAAGGGGACCACCAGCCCTGAGTCCAGCTTTGACCCACATGCATGACTATACTCAACTACTCACACATTCATTGTTGAGCACCTAGTCCGGACCCCAGGCCTAGAGCTAGCTGATGAGAACAGCGCAGTAGGACCCAGCCTTCCAGAGCCCTCATTTCAGAGACATGACGGTCAATCAATAGATCTAGGGAGGGAACGCCTCCCCGGCCTGAGAGGACCTCTCATCTTCCTTGCTTTGCCTTCATCTCTGCCCCCATGGGCTCCCAGACCCAGGGAGGTCGGTCCATATAGAGTGCTCGGGGATTACTTGATGAAGGAGGGAAGAAAAGTGGTCAGTGAATTCCTCACAAGAATTGAGCCAAATGTGAGTGTCAGAACATTCCACAGAGACACACATTTACTAAAGGAATCTACTTTTCATTTCTTATTTTAGCATAAAAACAATAACAAACATCATGTTGACCTAAAATGCTTCAGAAGGTCCTCAGGGGCTAAGCAAGGTCTCTGAGATCTAATTATAGAAATCAGTTTATGCTTACGCCCTGAAGCATCAGAGAGCAAAATAAAGACTAGCGCCCGCAGCAAGATTAGCAATAACAGAAACTCCATTCAGGTGAATGAATGAGACCTGATCTAGATGATTCCAACTCTTGGGTGCTACAATAGAATTGTGCCACCATTTTATTTTCAATGGCTGCTTTTTCACCAGACTTTTCTTCCAAGGAGCTTCTGGGTAGACTTGAACTTCCTACCTTGTGGTTAGCAGCCAAGTATGTTACTCTCATATTTATACTACTCTGGGGTTCTTATTCGGAGTTGTTGTTGTTAAGTGCCATCAAGTTTGTTCTAACTCATAGCAACTCTGGGTTTCTGAGGAGTAGCTGGTGGGTTTGAACAGTGTTTTAAGAACATAATCTCCAGTACTTTAAGATGTCAGTTTGTTCATCTCTAAAATGGGACTCGAAGCACATGTACTTCATAAAATTAATTCAGATTATGTACCTGAAGCGCCTGGTTAATAGGAAGAACTCTATAATATTAGCTACCATTTCCTCAGCAAAGAACTTTGCTGAGGAAAATGTCAGACAAAGGACTTGCTCCAACAGAGAGTGAAATGACTTTTCAAGCTCATATGATTTGATTATATGATTCTCAAGGTCATATAATCAGATGTGGGGTCAGTCCCACAAGCTAAGGTTTGAATCCATGCCTGTCAGATGCTGGTTTACGCTAACAAAATGTCTGTCAGTGCAGCTACATCAGACTGCCCTGACTCTCTGTCCAGTGCTCACTCCACTAAAAGTCCTTTGCCTTCCTGACTCTCCTCAAATTTCACTCTTAGGAAGAAAACAATCTGTCCCCATGGGCCTAGAATCCCTGCTTGCAGACATTCAGGAAGTTAGGAATGAAAGACCTTTCACATTAAGAAAAAATATAATGAATGGGTTTGGACTTTAACAAACAAGAAAACACTTCTCAAAAATGTTCCAGAGAAAAAGAAAAGATGGCTTTTCAGAATTTTTTTTTTCCCCTAAGAACCATTAAAAAGTTGTTTTCCTCACTTTTAGAGTTTAGGCTGGAATGGGGGGAGATGGAGAGCTCGTTACCAGGAATATAAAAGGTATTTTTCCCTCATAAGGGAAAAAAAAAAAGAAGGAGGAGGAGGAGGAGATTCCAGACTACTGGTTTCTTCAGCCACCTCTGTGATGAGAACAGAAAGTGTAAGAGATGTTCTGTGAAGATCCTCATGATGACATCCTTAAGGGAAAGACCCTTGAACTTGCCCTCTCTGAACTGTCTGGGGAATGAATGAATGTCATTGCTCACTGGAAAAAATGTGTCCATGGGGAGACCAGAGTGTCCTCTTCCTTTGGTTATGTCCACTGTAGGAATTTCAAAATTCTCTGACCTCAGATTCCTCCTGTGGCTGTTTTCTACCACAGAGAATATAGGAAACGAAGACCAGGATAGCCAGAGTATACAGAGGCAGTGGGGCGAGAGCAGGTGGGGTATAGAAAAACAGCCATTCACTGGGGACAGACTCCCTCATTATAGCTCTACTTAACTACCGTTCACTGAGAGGATGTTCATGTACCAGGCCCTGTGCTGGGCCCAGGGATCCTGGGATGTCTCAGACCTAGACCCAGCCCATGAGGAGTCCAATCTCAGGACAGCCTTCAGAATCTTGTTAGAATCTGTATTCTTGTCCATGAGTTGATGTTTCCGCTTCCCAACCCCGGTGAATGCTTTAGATCCACAGCTGGAGGGGTCACAGCAGTTGCCCAAATCCCTCAGGATACTCTTGAGAAGGAAAAAACAGGACCCATAGAAGAAAAAAGACTTGGCCAAGATCATACAAGTCCATAGCAGAACCTAGTCCTAGAAGTCAGTTTCTGGGTCCCAGCTCTTAGCACCGAGGGTTGTTCCAGCTTCCTGTGAGAATTAGCCCGATGACAGTTGGGGAGAGTTTTCCAGTGTGACAGAGTGATGGCAGAGATGGCAGACAGCTCTCGGAGAGAACTTCCCAGAACAAGGACAAGGAGTTAGTCAGGTCACGTATGGGCAGAGGGACGTAAAATGGAGACAATCTAAATGTCCATCGACAGATGAATGGCTAAACCAAATATGGCACAGATATACAATGAAATGTTTCTCATCCACACAGAGAAATGGAGTCCTGATACATACTACAACATGGGTGAACCTAGAAAATGTTGTCCTTGTGAAGTGCCGTCGAGTCAGTTCTGACTCATAGCGACCCTGGGTAGGGTTTCTAAGGAGTGGCTGGTGAGTTTGAACCACCAACCTTGCGGTCCAGTGCTTATCCTACAGCACCACACCAGGACTCCATAGAAAACATTATGTTGAGTGAAACAAGTCAGTCACAAAAGGACAACTATTGCATGATCCCAATTCCATGGAACATCTAGAATTAGCCACATACATGACAAGGTCTCTAGTATCCAGTGAGTTTCTGTAAGATTTTAATACAATGGCCTTTACAGGGATTTAACTTCAGATTGTATGGGAACTATCTATTCACACAATGTCCACATCACACAACATCTTATTTCACAGAACATGTCCTGGGTGTTAGTCAATGTGTACCTGGATCTATGTAAGCATATTGCTGGGTGCTGTGGGGTTGGTTGCAGTTAACAGAAGCCCTATGTACAACAGATTGAACTATTGCTTGGTCATGACCCATCCTCACCATCACTGTTATGTTTGAGACGATTGTTGAAGCCACTATATCAATCATGGTGTTGAGGGCCTTTGACTTTTTCACTGACCTTCTATTTTACTAAGCATGATGTCCTTCTTGGTAACTGGTCCTTCCTAATAGCATGTCCAAAGTACATGCAGTGAAGTCTTGTCAGCCTCACTTCTAAAAGCAGTCTGGCTGTACTTTTTCTGTATGTATACAGTCCTCAGATTCAAGAATTCACTCAGTCAGGTGTGGGGAGGAGCAATTAAGTAGTTAAAGCTTCAAAGACTAACAGGGAGGGTAAAGTGCTATTGCCACAGCATTTGCACTGCACTAGCTCTGGTAGTGTAGTGAATCAGGCTGCGAACCCGCAAGGTCAGCAGTTCGAAACTACCAGCTGTTCCACGGGATAAAGATGAGGCTTTCTGCTCCCGTAAAGATTTACAACCTCAGAAACACTGTACAGAGTCACTATGAGTCGGAAGCGACTCCACAGCACATAACCACCACCACCACCAGGTATTATAAGTAATCTAGAGATCATTGATAATTCAAGGATTCCTGGTATGGTGCTGTAGGATAAACACTGGACTGGGAACCACAAGGTCAGTAGTTCAAACTCACCACCTCCTCCTTGGAAATCCTAGACAGGGTCGCTATGAGTCAGAACCTACTCAAAGACACTTAACAACAACAACAGAGATCATTCAAAGTGTATGGGAGGATACTGTGCCGTTTCCTATAGGGACTTGAGTATCACTGGATTAGGGTATCTGCAGGAGGTCCTGGGACCAATCCCCCTCAGATACTAAGGGATGACTATATTACCACAATTTTAAAAAACAAAAATGTGGAGAGAGGGAATGTGAGGCCAGAAGATATGGAGGAGAGAGAGAGCTTACAGATGGAGTCCAAGGTTTGGAAAAAGAAGAAGGAAGAGTGGGCCTAAGGGTGTTGGTGGGAGAGTCTGAGAGGGACAATGCAACCACTCCACAGACTTGCCAGCACTTGACTCTCAAACCCTCTACAACCCCTGTGTCTGTGAATCATCTGGATCCCTTTCATGCTCCAGGTCTCAGTTTCCCCATCTGTAGAAAGAGTGGGCTGTGTTCCTATGACCTCTGACTCCTCTCTCTGTTGAGTGCTGTGTTTCCTCTGGAGCGTGTTCTGCCAGGGCCCCAGAGAACAGGTCCTTCCTCTTCCCTCTTCTCTCTGAACCCCAGGTCAAATCCAGGCCCTGCCATTTTTTGTTTGTGATGGAGCCCCCACCTTCACTGTTTCTGGGTTTATGAAAAGACTTGACCTTTGGTCAAAGGAGAAGAGGTCAACCTGACCCTGGGCGGGGCCAGAGTGAGAAAGGAGTGGGTGGAAACCAGCTCCCCAAAGAAAAGGCCAGCAAAGGCTCCCTGCCTCTGGTACACTGCCATAGCTGGGCCAAACTGAGCTTGAATTGAACTGAATCCAAAGGAGTTGGTTCACAGGGAACTGAAGACAGCTGGCTGAGAGGTTTGTGTGGGAACATCGCCATCTGGTGGTCACTTCAGTCCTGCACCCTGCACCCTTCTTTCTCTCCCGGCAGGTGATGGACAGCTCGATGCCCCTGATTGGTGAGCATGTGGAAGAGGACAAACAGCTAATGGCCGACCTTGTGGTCTCCAAAATGAGCCAACTCCTGATGCCAGGGGGCATGGTGCCCTCACCCCTGAGGCCTTGGGTAAGGTCCTCAGGAACAAAAGAGACTTTGTAGCCATGAAGTTCTGGGCTGTCTAGCAGTAGGGACATGAGGGAGACACCCCACAGGGGAGCCACCTGGGCAGAAAGGATCAGGTGTGGCAGGGGAGCATCTACAGGGGACCTTTCTTCCTCTAGCACCTTGGGGAGAAAACTCTTGTCTCCACTGGGTATTGGGCTCTGCTATGCCCTCCACACCAAGTCTGGATTCAGGTGTGTGTCAGTGTGAGTATGTATGTGAATGGATGTGAGTATAGGAGTGTGCTGTACATACATGCCCTATATGTGTCCCCAGGGCGCCCGTCAACAGAGACTATTGCGTCTTCCATGTCCACATCCCCCAGACTCAACAATCCCACATAACTCCTCACTGACCCCTGCAGTCCCACCAGGGACCACCACATGGTCCTCCATATACATTTTCTAGCCCCCCAGCTTTCTGCAAAAGCCAGTGTCAAAACCTACCCTCCCTTTCCCCACAAACACCGATCTATAATGACATAGATCCAAATAATGGTTATCTTTGACAGGCTTGCTTGTTGGGAGGGGTCACAGCACAGCCTTCTGGGAAATGTCTATGTCTTCATCTGGATTGTGGTTACACATATGTAAACATGCACAAATTCATCACACTGAACACTTCGGATATGTCCACTCTTACTGAGGTAAAACTCAATGATAACCAGATCTTTTTTAAAGCTCTCTCATCCCCTTCCTTCTCTCTCATCCCCAGAGAGTTCATGGCTGGGGTGATCACAGTGCGTTTCTTTTCTTCCTCTAGGCTCCACAGATGAAGCCAGCAAAATCTCCAGGACAAACTCAGCTGGGGCAGCCCCAGTCTCGCCCACCCACACAAGGTATGACCTGCATCCAGCCAAGGATGCCAGTGAGGGTGCCAAATGCATCATGGGAGCCATGTGTGACTTCAGACACACTCTGGAAAACCTCTCTCAATATTTCATCCCAGAATGTATATACTATCTCCATATGCAGAATGGATGAAGCCAGAAGGTTTGGCATCCCCTCAAGATCAAGAATGGAGGAAGGGAAGACAGAAAGTGAATGTATTCAAAATCTAAAAGATGTGCTAGGCACTTCCCCATTTGTCTCCTTATTTTACCCTCCCCTGCAGTCCACAGTGAACACATTACCTATTTCCTTCTGATAGAGGTTAGAGGTGAGTCTCTCACCCAAAGAGCCACAACAAGAAAATGGCATGTTTACAATTCTGTCCTCTCAGATCTTATAGAAGCCAGGATGGCCAGACCTCGTCTCTCCTACATTGAACATGTTATTAGGAGGGGCCAGTCCCTGGAGAAGGACATCATGTTTGGTAAAATGGAGGGTTGAAGAAAAAGAGACCCTTAAAGAGATGGATTGGCACAGTGGCAGCAGTAATGGGCTCAAAGTAGCAGTGATTATGAGGTTGGCACTGGACTGGGGGCTGTGTTTCGTTCTGTTGTGCATAATGTCAGTATCAGTGGGTACCAACTCGACGGCACCCAACAACAACAGAAAACTTAGCCACTTGTTGTTGTTGTTGAGTGTCATTGAGTCTGTTCCAACTCTTACTGACCCTGTGTAGGGTGATTTCCAAGGAGCATCTGGTGGGTTTGAACCACCAACCTAACTGTTAGCAGCCCAGTGCTTATCATACCCACAGTGTTACACCAGGACTCCTCCTAGCCACTAGATGTGCCTGATTATAGACTTATGAGCCAACTAGATAGAGTGAGAAAGAAAACTAGAGATATTAAATATGATCTTCCCAACTGAAATTCTTCCTCAGAAAACCCTCAGCCAGTACGACGTTGTTGATGATGGTTGCATTGAGTTGGTTCCGTTCAGGATGAGTTGATAAATAACAGAACAAAACTTTGCCCCATCCTGCACCATCTCTCAGTACCTTATTGTACCATATTCTGTTGTCACCGGCTAATTTTTAGAAGGAGATCATCAGGCCTCTCTTCCTACTCTGCCTTATTCTGAAAGGTCTGCTATAGACTGCCCACCATGGATGGCGCTGCTAGTATTTGAAATAGAAATGGCATAGCTTCCAACATCCTAAGCTACCACATGAGGACGGACTGAAAGGCAGGTGCCACCATTTATTAATGAATGGATAAACTATTGTAACTAGGTAAAAAGTAGTCGTTGTTGTTGTTGTCACTGTTAAGTGCCATTGAGTCAGTTCAGAGTCATAACAACCCCGCATAGGGTTACCAAGGACCAGCTGGTGAGTTTGAACCACCAATGTAGTGGTTCAAACTGACCTTGCGGTCCAGTGCTGTATCCCCGTGTGATGATCACTTAAGGAACTGTCTCTCTGAAAACTAGGTGCTTTCTTGCAGCCCCGGGAGACCCCTCACTCTGCCTCCCCTTGTGGGATCAGACGCCTTCTGGGTGCATGCATTGTGCAGTGCTGGCTTCAGGCATCAGAGCAGCTTAGCACCAAGAAGCCATACCAGGCAGCCTCACTGCAACCTTTTAAGGATCTGCTCAAAATCCTTCCAGAAAGAAGGGGTTCCTGGCCTGCCATGGACTTCCCAATCTCTTTTATTAAAGGAGCAGTTTCACTGCTTCTTGGGAAACTTGGTTTTTCACTTTCTCCTCCCAAGGCCTTGGATAAAATGGTCCATCCATTTTTCTTGTTTCTGCTTCTCTCTCTATAAAAGCAGAAAGCACTGAGAGAAAGGAAAATGGCATCATTGTTTAAACCGTGTATAAATGAGCATTACGATTCTTCAGGCAGCTACATGTGTGCTTGAATCCAGTACCATATTCACTGCCTTTGAGTCGTAAGCACGTGATATCACTTCTCCGATCCATCAGCTTCTTCACTTCGGAAGGTGTCCATGAGACAATTAGCCAGGTGCCTGACATAGGTAGTCCTTAATAGGTGTCATCATCGCCCACTGCTCCCGTCACACAAACACCACATGGGGGTAGCTTTACAGAACAGACATTTAGTTTCTCACCATTCAGGAGGCCTGAAGTCCAAATTCAGGCCACCAGCTCTGGAAGGAGAGCCTTGTCTTGGCTTCTATAACCCCTGTGTTGCTGGGTTCTTTGATGGTTCCCACAAGGCATCTGTGTTCCTCCTATTTGTCCTTGAGCCTGTGTGTCAAATCTGCCCTTTTTGGAACTCGGAAATGATTAGGTTTAGGACACAGTCTACACTACATCATTATGTGTAAAAACATAAGGATGATGGGATTACATCCACAGGCAGGGGTGGCTGTTAAGTGTCTCCAGTCAGTTTCAATTCATAACAACCCTGTATAGGGTTTCCAAGGAGCAACTGGTGGGTTTGAACCACCGACCTTCAGTGCCACACCAGGACTCCACACACACAAGTTAGGGGTTAGGATTCCAACATACTTTGAGGACACATGTTTTAATCCATAATAGTAGGTGTTAGCTCCTAGCATCAATAATTTACTATTCATGATTATTCTATTAACTCTTACTGTTAATAACTTGTGTATTGATAACAATTCTAAGATTCATGTTGTTCTTAATGCTGATTATTAATCATCATTATAGCCAATACGGCCATTGCCCACCTGCCTGGTAATACTGTTATGAGCTATCAGTGTTCAGTGTTTGTACTTATGCATTACCTTTCCCGGCTCCCGGCTGTGCCCCTGTTCTGCCCCCATCTTTCCCACTCTGCCCTATGACTTACTTATTAAAACACATCTGAACAGAACACTTTCAAAACAGAGATTCCCTGTATTCTGATTTCCTTTCCAGGCCCCAAACAGAGCCGTGCCTGGTAAAGAGAGATTCTTTTATGGGACATGAGGCTAAACACACTTTTAGTGAGTTGAGAGCCAGCCCATTTAAAACCAATTAAGGTAATTAAAGAAAATACCCATGGAATTAATATCCAGATTAAAAATAACAAGGCTAATTTTAAAAGAATGTTTTCATTGAGTTCCCAAAATAGCAAGAGCCCATTATTAACTAGCTCATTGCAACCCAGTAGAAGTGAAGCTTTCTTTCTATGAACTTTAGAATTTTTAGCATTAATCCTGGGCTTAGGCAAATACTTTCTGTACATCAGTTAATGGTTTTTGTATGTGCACAAATAAAAAATACTACATGGCTTGCTTGGCATGTCACTGGAAGAAATAACTAGGTGTCTCTTGATGAATCCCAGGTATATAATAGGGACTCCACAAATAATAGATGAATAAATGAGTATTCAGATTTTGTAAGACACTGGGACTGAGGCAGGGGAATACTTCAGATCAGTGGTGTCGTTAGCGGGGTTCAGGGGGTATAGACTGTACAAGGTAGCACTGTCTGTAAAATTTTCTGAAGTGTTTCCCAAGAAATGTACTACTTTTTATAAAAATATACCTGGAGTTTTAACAACAAAAACATTTTTCGCTAGCCCAGCTTACATGTAGCAATACACCTACAAGGCTAGAGCTCTTCCCGAATTTACTTTTGGAACCTTCTAATGCATTCTGGTCAGAGCTGTCATTATAACCCAAGTACAAAGACGATTCACATCACATGGGATTTGCCTGCACCCACGACAAGCATACACTGTTGTTTTTATTGTGGATGTTTTTATAGTCCTGACTTTCTCAAATTTTCTAGTGTTTTAGCTACAATTTTGTGTTCCGTAGTATTTGTGAATCTTTAGCAGCAACTTTTTAGAGAATGAAGCAGTAATTTAATGAAAAGGAGACAAATCAAAACAAGTTTCCAGTCATAATGATTATTGTTGTAATTCAGTGTAGAAAGATTTTACAAAACAATTTTGTTGTCCGTATTCCTATAATCTAAGAAGCATCCCGTGTAAGCAATTTACAACTATTGTTACTGTTGTTAGGTACCATCCAGTCAGTACCTACTCATAGCGACCCTATGCACAACAAAACGAGGCACTACCCGGTTCTGCACCGTTGCTACGCTTGAGCCCATTGCAGCTACCACTGTGCCAATCCATCTCATTATAGGTCTTCCTGGTTTTCGCTGACTGTCTACTTTACCAAGCATGATGTCCTTCTCTAGAGACTGGTCCCTTCTGACAATATGTCCGAAGTATGAGAGACGAAGTCTGGCCATCCTGACTTCTTAAGAACATTCTGGCTGTACTTCTTCCAACACAGATTGGTTTCTTCTTCTGGCAGCCCATGGTGCTTTTAATATTCTTCTCCAACACCATAGGCAACAATTGTGAGGTTGGCCCAGGATCAGGCACTGTTTCGTTCTGTTGTGCATAGGGTTGCTATGAGTCGGTGCAGACTTGATGGCACCTAACAACAACACCACCATAACTTAAATGCATCAATTCTTCTATGACCTTCCTTAATCACTGTCCAACTTTCACATGCATATGAGATTATTGAAAATACCATGGCTTGGGTCAGGTGCCCCTTAGTCCTCAAGATGACATCTTTGCTCTACAACACTATAAAAAGGTCTTGTGCAGCAGATTTGCCTAATGCAATACATCATTTGATTTCTTGACTACTGCTTCCATGAATATTGATGGTTGATCTGAGCAAAATGAAGTCCTTCACAACTTCAATCATTTCTCTATTTATCTTGATTTTATTTATTGGTCCAGTGGTGAGTATTTTTGTTTTCTTTACATTGAGGTGCATCCCATACCGAAGACTGTGGTCTTTGATTATGCTCTGATTTAAATTGATGGTAAACATGACTGAAGATTCTGTATGGTTCATAGGCTGCGCAGTAACACTAGTTCTACTGACGCCACGCTTTAGGTATAAGTAGAACACAGATGTTTTCTTTGACTTGCCCTGGATTTAAAAACTGAAAAGGAATATTGAACAATGAGGAGGTTTTTCATAAACATCTAGAGCTCCAGCTTCTTTGAAGCTTCTAGAAAAAAATGGGCCTGTATTCCTACGTAGCAACTGTCCACTGGTGTTCAATAGCAGCTGCCTCTTGAGCACGGCAAAGACTCCCTCGTCACCCTAAGCCCCACTCTTCCTCATTGTCACACACCAACGAGTCCAGTGTCAATGCCATTGTCTTCATGTTTACACCTCTTTAGAGAAAGAATTCCCTGAACCCAGATTTTCATTTAAGTGAGAGACATTTTAAAGGTCACATGATACTGCTCACCTACTTTGTTTACCATATTTTCACATATAACACGCCTCCATCAATAATATGGACTGCCTGTGAGGCTCTGTAGGATCAGCATTGGATTGATCCAGAAGGTTGGCAGTTCAAACCCACTAGCTGCCCCTCGGAAACTCTATATAGAGTTGCTATGAGTCAGAACCAACTCGGCAACAACATGGATGTGCACACACATATAACACACGTGATGTGCATAGGAAACTAATGCTGGAAAGAGGGTTCAAGGTTTGCAAAATCCTTATCACCTGAGTGCCATGCATGTTTGGTTTGAGATCAATCCTCCTATCTACTAGGAAATACTATCAGGAAAAAGGTTAAAAAAAAAAAAAAAAAATGAGGCAGAGCCTTGTTCAATATAAATGTCTATGTTAGGCATTTATATCGCTTTCAGTCATAAAACACCACTGTAATAAGCTTCCTTGTTGTTAAGTGCCGTCAAGTCGGTTCCATCTCATAGCGACCCTGTATAGGGTTTCTGAGGTTAGCAGTCCAGTGTTGATCCTACAGCACCACACCAGGATTCCATTATTTGTGTACAACCAGATTTATCCTTTTGAACTTAAAGCGTTTTTCTTCCCGCAGGCGGCCCTCGCCAAGCTCAGTCTTCCCAACCCCCGAGATCTGGGAGCCCCTCCCAACAGAGGCTCTCCCCACAAGGCCAGCAGCCTCTGAGCCCCCAGTCTGGGTCTCCCCAGCAGCAGAGGTCACCGGGGTCTCCACAGCTGCCCCGAGCATCCGGTGGCAGTTCACCAAACCAGGCCTCCAAACCAGGCTTCAGCTCTCAGTCCCGGCCCCCGGTTCAAGGCCGCAGCAGCTCCCAACAGAGTGAAGAAGCCAAGAAATCAGCACCACCCCACCCCCATCTCAAGTAAGTAATCTGGAAGGTACGGGCTGAGGTGTGGGCAGAGCTGGGCCCATTCAGGACCAGGGACTCAGAGAGAAAGGAAGAGCCAGCAGGGCCTCGCCTAGACTTTAGGGAAGTCAACGAAGGTCTGGAAGATGGAACTTGGACGGCAGGACCCAACGCTGTGAGAGTAGAGATTAGGCCCCACTAGGAAAGGAGCCCTGGTTCATTGTCAGTTTTCTTATAGCTACATAGAATTCTTTCATATAATTGTATAATAATTTATCTAACAAATTCATCATAGACAGAAACTGGTTTGTGTTTACAGATGAAAACTGTCCTAATTAACCTTGGAATATATTCTTTTGTGTGTACAGGGTTAGCTCAGAGACATTGGCTGGAATGGTATCGTGGGATCAAAGGGATAAATGCATTTGTTGGTTGGTGGATATTGGCAGATGGCCTCCCAGCCAATATGGGATAGTGTTTGACAGCACAGAATCTAGAATCAGACTATCTAGGTTCAAATCCCAGCTAATACTTAGAAGTTGTATGGTCTCAGATAAGTTGCTTAACCTCTATGTGTTTAATGTCCTCACATGCCAAGCGGGCAAATAACACTCACCTCTATCATGGCTTTTATAAGGGTTAAAGTGAATTGATGCACAGTTAGGTGGATTCCAGATGCCACCTTGCATCGGGAATGCACATCTGGATACAGCTCTCACCACGTACAAAGAAGAAGGTCAGCTAATCAAAGGTCAGACGAGGGCTTTGTAACTTCAGCCACTTGGAACACTAACTGTATAATGTTCTGTCTAGAAACACTTAAATCACCTAATTTATTACTTTCTAAAGTATTATTTGTTCTTTGCAGATGACATGATCTTACATATAGAAAATTCTACAGAACCTGTACTACAAAAATAGTTGTTGAGTAGAGCTAGTGAATGAATTGAGCAGTCGTAAGATACAAGATCAAACAGTCAGATCATCTGAAATGGAAATTACAAAAACAATGTCATTTATAGTAGAGTCTAAAGGAATAAAATATTTAGGAATAAATGTTTAACCAAGGAGATGAATGGCTTCCATAAGTGTCAAGTAAAAAAAAGGTATTGTTACGAGGGCTCCAGTTCATGCATTCATAGGTTTGTTCCAAGGAAAACCTATTTAAACATGTCTCTGTGACCAGTGATGGCTACAGACAAGCTCTCAGTAATATACTTGTACACTTGTCTTAGTTTCATTAAAGTACCTTCAAAAAAAAAAAAAAAAAAGTCTAATCAAAACAGTAGTTGCCTGAGCCATCTGCAAAAGCACTTAAATTCAAAACAGAGAGGTCAGCTCAGAAGTATGGAGACTGTTTTGGGGATTCCCCCCCATCATGGGATAATGTCACATTTTTCTCAAAGGACATGAGAGTTTATTATGAAGACATGTTAAGAAAATTGAAAACCGCATTGGTAAGGGAAAAAAATCACAAAAGTTGTATCAGGAATTTATTCCCCCCATCACAGCAACATTTGCTCATCCTTCAAAGATAGCCGAGGATGTCCTACAAGAATTTCATAGAAAAACCTTACCCCACCCACCCTACAGTCCTGATCTTACCCCAAATGCAAAGAACATTTAAAAGGAACACGAGTTGACTCTCTCAAGGATGCCCAAACTGCCGTTTTGACCTGGTATAAATCAAGAGAACAGAAGTCTTCTAATAAGGGTTTAGACAGGTAGATAGCAGCACTGCTTTCAAATGTGTGTAGATCTTGATGGAAGATATGTGGAGAAAAATAGCTTCACATTTTGATATTTTTGTGTAATATAAAGGTTTCTATGAATTTGTAGCAATACTTTTTAACTTATCAGATTAAAGAAGACCTCATGAAATGGAAAGACACACCATGTTCACAGATTGGAGTACTTAATATTACCAAAATGGCAATTGTATTTCTCAAAGCAATTTTCTGAACCAAATCAAATGCAATCCCCATCAAAATTTCAATGACCTTTGTTTTGGGCAAAAATGGAAAATCTGATTTTAAAATTCATATGCAATTGCAGGGGATACTGAATAGCCATCATTATCATTTGGTTCATTGAAGTGAATAGAAATAAGTTACTGGAACTTACGTTGTGCCTAATCCTGGATAAGACCTGTGGAGGATAAGAAGGATAATTCCTTCTTTGAAGAGGATTTCGGTTTCTTAATGGTTGAGAAGACCAGGTGCCGATCTCTTAACTCTGTGACATAGTCACATCATCTCTTCCTACATCTGTCACCTCCGCTAGACTGCACACCTCCTGAGGACAGGGATAGATGGTCATATTTATCTCACTAGGCCTGGCACAAGGGAAGCACTAATAATTGCTGCAGGCTGACCTCGTAATTCATTGAGAGACTAGGAACCTGTGGTTCAAATAGGAGGTACAATGAAAATTCACAGACTGGAATTGGCAACGGAGGGTTCAGGAAAGAGTTGAGAACTAGAGGTCAGAATATCAGAGCTACAAAAGGTCTGGAGGTCAGCTAGGCCAACCCTACATTCTACAAATGAGGCAGCAGAGGCCTTGAGAAGTGACTTGCCCGTGACCGTATAGATCAAGTGGCAGAGCAGGGTCTAACACATAGATCCCCTAATTCCCAACCTAGTATTAGAAACTGCAGTAGGAACACCCATAGGCAGATGTTGTACAGCACTCTACAGTTTACCAAGCAGATTTATAGGCAGGACAGTTGACTGGCTACCTTCTGGTAACAGCAGTCTGGTGGTGTGGGGAGAGTGTGAACCTTGGATACCTCCCATGACTTGCTGTAGAGACTTAAGTGAGTTACTTGATTCTGTGAGTCATCCTTTCTCTACCTAAGAAGTGAAGCTAAGAACCACCTTCCAAGGTTAGCATGCCAGCTTAATAATGTACAGAAGGTGGCTGGTTTCCTATCCGTGTTGAGATGCCTGCTTTCTAGTCTTAAGTGATGATGATGATGATGGATGGGGCTCACCCATCTTGCTCTCAGACAAGCCCCCAAGACTCATTCTTAAGGAGTCTAGGCCTGTCTTCCCCAACCCCACTACCTTTCTATTTCAGCAAATCCCAGTCCCTGACTAACAGCCTCGGCACGTCCGACACAGCGCAGCGCGGGACCCCAAGCGAAGATGAGGCCAAGGCCGAAACCATCCGCAACCTGAGAAAGTCCTTTGCCAGCCTGTTCTCTGACTAACCCAGTCCAGGCTGGGCAGGGGGGGTGTACTGCTACACTCTCCCCATTCCTGCCTTGTCTTCCTTCTCAGCCTTGGTTCCTGCTCGGAACAGAATGGAGGGACTGAGAATACAGTTTCTGAATGCCTTTGACCCAGGAACTGATTAGTCCTATGTGTTCTCATTTTCCTTTACCATGGCATCCCAATGTTGCCAGACTGAAGGGTGGGCCTTTGAGAATATCTGGATTCCTCAAAACGGGGCTCAAAGACAGGCCCCACATCTCTCTGCCCACCCAGATGCTTGCTTCCCTGTCTCTAGTAACCAAGTGAGATGTCTCCTTTGTGGCTAGTTTTCACATTTCTTGTTGTGTTTTGCTTGCCTTGGGCAAAGGCTTCCTCTAGGCCTTCCCCCACTTCCATGAAATGCAGACTCTACGGCTGGACCTTAGCAATCTTTGAGGCAATAATCTGTTGACAGTGTTTTGCAAACAAAAGAAGATAAGGTCAACCACCTGCCCATGTTAGTTCCATCCAAGACGTCCCCTCAGACCTCACAGGCAAAGGGCCTGGCCTACCAAGCCACCAGTGGGATATGAAGGACAACTGAAGGAAACCCTCAGTGACAAGCGGGGTCTTTCAGAACCCAACAGAAACAGGGGAAACCCTGCACTGCAGCTCCCATCCAGAGCGCCTTCCTAACTTAGGCTGTTGAGAGCCAACCGTAAGCTCTTTGAGGAATTGTCACTAGTTTCCAGAGGAGAAAGATGCCCAGAAATTCCCAAGGAAGGAGATAGATTAGGGCTCCTTCACCCAGCAAGGTTGGTGGTTCAAGCTTACCAGTCACTCCTTGGAAACCTACACAAGGTCACTATAGGTCGGAATCGGCTCAATGGCACTTAACATCAACCCATCAGTGACATCACTGTCCCGTCTCCCCAGCTTCCTAGCAGAAATGTTTCTTCCTCAAAGACAGGAGGAACTGAAGAAAAGACAGAAGTTCAATAACACAGGATCAAGAAGTATAATGATAACAAACTTCCAGCTCAGCATTTCACATACTGTGCAGTAAGGCACAACCATAGCTTTCTCACATATAATGTGCTTTCATAAATAATGCCCACACGCATACAGCATGCATAGCACACATAGGAGACTAATGTGCCAGGGGGTGTGTGGTTTGCAAAAACATAAATACATGTATTATTTGTATAAAAATATAGTAGTAGGTTACACTACTTTATGAAAGGTTCCGTGGTCGATTGTGTTTTGAAAACACTATTCATATTTCATTTTTGTAGATTCATAGTACATGTCAAAAGCTCTTAGAATTTGTGCAGTAAACAAACAAACAAACAAAAGGTTTAATTTAGTTTAACCGAAACTTATTGAAACAAGTTAACTGCAGAGCTGGAAAACATCACCTTGACTCCCTTCGCAGTGCTGTTTCCCCTCCAGCAGGTAGTCTCTGTTAGCAGATTGGGTTCAGGAGGGTCTCAAGTCACCAAGCACCTGGTGCTAGAAACAATTGTAGGTGCCAGAACCCGCCTCCTAAGCCCCTACAGGAGATCCGAACATAGCCATGGTAGGCCCTACACCCACTTGGAGACTTGAGATAGGTCTTTCTATCATTCACAGTCAAGGGAGACAGGTCAAAATGGAATTATCTTTGGACTGCCGCAGTTTTAATCACAGTCAAGAGATGCAGAGACCCATCCAGATCCCCAGGAACGTAAGAGCAGTCTCCATCTTCTTGGTTCTCCACAGCCAGCCTGGTGGAGAGAGGACAAGGCCAAAGTCTCTCCCTCTGTGTGCCTTGAGCCTCCTAAAGCCCTGACTTCAGTGGGGTCAGAGTTCAATCGGGCTTTCTGATAGACAAGTGGCCAGAGATCTGCAGAGATCCACTTGGCCTTCAGAGTAGACCTCTTCTAGCTTACCCTCTTCCCTCCCTTGTGATCTGCTCAGTATGAAGCAAAACAAGGCGATTTTTGAAGTCTTCTTTCTCGTCTTGTTCAGGACCCCAGTGTGAGATTCTATAATGTTGTTGTTGTTATGTGCCATGGAGTTGGTTCTGACTCATAGTGACCCTTGTACAGGGTTTCCAAGGCTGTAAATCTTTACGGGAGCAGAAAGCCTCATCTTTCTCCCACAGAACAGCTGGTAGTTTCGAACTGCTGACCTTGAGGTTAACAGCCCGATTTGTAACCACTACGCTACCAGAGCTCCTTGAGATTCTATAATTGTTGTTGTCAAGTGCCGTCAAGTTGATTCCGACCCATAGCGACCCTGTATAGGGTTTCCAAGGAGCAGCTGGTGAGCTTGCAGTCTGGCACATTAACCCACAGCGCCCCACCAGGGAGCAATTATAGCTTAAGGAGCTAGGAGAGGCCAGTGGTTTTGCCCAGCTCATTTGACAGCTGGTGGCCTTGATTGGCATTGTCAGGATCCAGCAGCCAAATAAAATGGCCACTGCTGAAACTGTTGAAGATGAAGGGTGAATTGTTTAAGGGCCTGGTACTTGTTCTCCTATCCCCTCTACTAATACTCCCTTGCTTCTCTCCATGCTCTGTGCACACAGTGTGGTGTCTAAGAGCTTGGCAGGGCTTACCCCACCCACTGCCATGCCTCCATCCTTTTCACTGGCCCTGTGCAACACAACAGAACCGGGCTGCCCGGAAGCTGCCAGAAATGTTTCCCACAGACAGCTGACACAGCCCAGTGGGCAGTCCGACCCAGGTTGGAACTGCTGAGAGCTGACTTAATACATTCTGCTCGGAACCCCATGGTCTAAAAGTGGGGGCCTTGAGATTAACACCACCAAGACCAGGCTTTGCGGGAGGTGAGTAAACTCTGCCCTCTTGCTCTTCCTGCTGATTGCTTTCACCATTCCCTACAACTTCCAGAGAAAGTCAGTGGTGACAGAAGTTAAGAAGACAAGGAGATGAAATTCATAAGCCATATGCAAGTCCATTTTAAAGCTATTCTGTGAAAACAAATTTAACAGAGGAGAGTGAAAACTTTGCTTTATGAGATTTGACAGCCACCTGTCAAGGATCCTGGGGGGGAGGGGGGTCCCATTACATAAGTGCAGACATACAAGACACACAGAGAAAGTCTCTATGGAAGGACAGATATACATCCCATAGTCTAATCACCTTTCAGTTGCTGTCCTTTTCCTAGGGGATCTCTGAAGACCTACTACAACTGCAAGAGCAGAACTGTCCTGTTTGGCCCCAAGAAGTTGACATTAGTATATGTCACAAAAGGCTCCTGGCCCGTGCCTTCTCTCTTAACAACGGTAGCTGAGGTTGTTCCGTAGAGCAGCCTCAGAGCCTTGCCCCCACATAGTTTTATTATAAGATTCCAGGATAGAGAAGAATTCGTTTGGTTTCAAACATTTAAAAAAAAAAAATCATCCCCACATTACTCAGGAGTAGATCTTTCAAAGAAATAGCTCCATGCTACATTCTTAATAAAAGGAGCTCTGGTAGCATAGTGGTTATGAATCAGGCTGTGAACCACAACATCAGCAGTTCGAAACTACCAGCTGTTCTGTGGGAAAAAGATGAGGCTTTCTGCTCCTGTAAAGATAAACAGCCTCAGAAACCCTGTACAGGGTCACTATGGGTCGGAACCAACTCGGTGGCACACCATCACCACCCCCTGAAAGCTATGTGTTTTAGGCAGAAGGAGAATGCAGGAAACGCCAGGGGCAGTGACCACCTTGCTACCTTGGAGAGTCACTGAAATAAAACACAGCTCCAAACACAAGTGGCATCAGGCTGATTAATGAGTGTCTCAAAGGGTGGCCCTGGGCCATGTCAGAGTGAGTTACAAAGATAGAGGAGGCCTCCTTTCAGAACAAAACATCTGATATTCTGGGCCCAGAAGCTGCATTTTAGTCAATCTCCCCAGGTGCTTTGAGTACATATTCAAGTCAGCCCAGAGCTGAGCTAAGGGAGAAAGCCGGACGTGAGAAATGGTGTTGGTATGTTTGGGATCAGGTCACCAACACAGCTGGAGACCCATGCCTTTGGTTAAGAAAATCTACTCGTTATGTGTTGGGAGTAGAACCGCGCTCCACTGGATTTTCAACGGCTAATTTTTCATAGATTGCCAGAGTTTTCTACCAAGACACTTCTGGGCGGACTTGATCCTCCAATGTTAGGAGCCAAGCACAGTGGCCACTTGACTCTCAAGAAAAACTGAGGAGTTTCATCAACAGCACCCACATGAATAAATCCCAATTTCCTACACTCCTCTATCCCTTGTCTGAGGAGAACTGGTGTGGCGCTGTGAGTTAATGTGCTGGACTACAAAGTCATTTGAACCACAAGGTCAGCAGTTCAAGCTCACCAGCCGCTCCTCGGGAACCCTATACAGGGTCGCTATGAGTCAGAACTGAATCAACGGCACTTAACAACAACAACAATCCCTTGTCTGTGGAGTTCTGGTGTTGTAGGATAAAACACTGGACCAGAAGGTTGGCTTGAGCTGCAAGGTTAGTGGTTCAAATCAACCAGCCGCTCCTCAGAAACCCTATACAGGGTCACTATGAGTCAGAACCAACTTGATGGCACCTAACAAGAAAACAGCAACATCCTTTGTCTGTAAGCAGCCCTGGTAATGCAGTGGGGTACTTATTGGAATACTAACCACAAGGTCAGCTGTTCAAATTCACTAGTCACTCCTCAAGAGAAAGATGAGGCTTTCTGCTCCCATAAAGATTTACAGCCTCAGAAACCCTACACAGGGTTGTTAGGAGTTGGAACCAACTCGATGACATACAACCACTAATATCCCATGTCTATAGGATAAGCACTGGATTGGTAACCACCAAGGTTAGTGGTTCAAATCCACCAGCTGCTCTCAGAAACCTATACAGGGTCACTCTGAGTCAGAACTAACTTAACATATAATAATCCCTTGTCCCCAAAAACACCTCAGCATTCAGACATTTCACCCCAAAATAGCACAAGCCCCTTTATCAGACCAGGCATTCTGACTTTTATAAACAAGACCTATGATGTAATACTTGCTTATAACCAACACAATGAAATCACTGTTTCCACCCGTCTGTATGTAGTCGGTGGAGACCACAGATCCCCAAACTGATCTCACACCGGCAAGCACAAATTCCTTCCAGAATTTTAACTTTAACTTTTAATAACATTTTGTAAGAGAGAAAAAAAAGGAGGGGGGAGTGAATAACTTTACAGTATATAGTCTAAAAAGTTGTTTTTGTTGGTTTTTGCTTTGGTTTTACTGCTTTGATCCAATGAAAAGCTAGCATTTCCACCCCCACCCCACCCCCAGGCTTGGTGAAGCTGAAACATGCCAACTGAATTTTTTTCCAGTTGCCATCAACTTCAGTTCATGGCAGCCCCTTGTGTGTCAGAATACAAGTATGTTTCATACACAGGCTTTTCAATGACTGGTTTGTCAATAGCAGATCACTAGGACTTTCTTGCAAGGTACCTCTGATGGACTTGAACCACCAACCTTTGGGTTAACAGCTGCTTGTATCAACCAGGGACTCCTAACACAATGAAGAGGGCATGGCCTTGGTGAACAGCCCCATCAACCAGAAAAAATATCTTCCAGCTCTTCCTTCCACCAATACCTTCGTTAAATGTGAACTCAGGTTTCGAGGATACTGGAATATGCGTTCTTCTCTTCCATCGCTTCACTGTGTTCTCTTCATTACAGCATTCCCTCCCCTTCTAACTAGTTCTACAGAAGCAAATCCCATGAGACAGAACATCAGTGACCTTCTAGAAGCTCTCCGCTGAATTTCCTGTGAGGGGACAGGAAGCTGGGGAAGGTCATTCACTGAGTAACTGAAGGATGCAGGTAAAATGCCAAGAGCACCGCTGGGCAGAGTAGAGGCTCGGGACATAGTTTAGACTATGAAATTAATAAAATGGAAACCTATGTGAGCAAGTCATTTGCCCAAGAACTGAATTACACAGTAAGCTGACAGAGAATTCAAGACAGAAGATGAAGTAAATCCGTGTCAGCTTTTGTAAGCTACAGGGAAAGATGATCGGACTCTGACAGCCGGCAATTGGGGAGCTGAGAGCTCCTCCGTGGTGAGCAGGTTCCAGGGGTCCAGCAGGCCAGACTCACAGCTGCCCGGCCTGGACAGGAAGCAGGCAGTTCAGACAAGGCTGAAATGAAAAGCCCAGGACCCCACCCACGACCTGTAAAGTGTGAAGAGGAGGCCCAGCTTAGGAAAAGCAGTAGCGTTCTACTGGAGTCCCATGCGGACTGTCCCACACAACCCAGCCAAGCTCTCCAGAGCAGACGTTCAGCTGAAACCCTCCCTCCCTGGGTACACGGTGTCCTTTCAGAGCCCTGCCCTCCCTGTGCTGGGGAGCAAACGAAATCACTCGTGCTTTATTCAGCCCCATTAAAAACTTCACTTTGTTGTATGCGTTTAGAATCAGTGAAGAGAGGTAGCTTAGAATCACAGGGAAACGGTACCTCAGCATCTCATAAGCCTTTATTATTTAGGACAAGCTTTCGGTTCCTAACTATGCTGACAAGGGCCCCCACGGTCCCAGACCCCTTGATAGTCACTGATGAAATGAAGGAATTCAGTCTAACATTTTGACTCCAGTAGAACGGGGCACTTGGGTTTAGTCAGAAAGGAACTGGGCGACTAGCAAGTCTAATCAGTCCATTTAGCAAACACATGCCTAAAGGACCCAGAGGCTGGCTCGCTCACTCGCAGCTGACAGAGATGAGTAGGGGACACTTGGGCCTTGTCTTCAGATCTTTCTCAACCAGCAGGCCGAGGAGGAGAGGAAAGCATGGCTGGGAATTGGTCTTTGGAATCAGCTAGGCATTCCTTTAGGGAAAAACAAATCTAAAATGAAACTTTCTTCTACAGTGTGGTTTGGTTTGCTCTTTTAAAAGAATTTTTTAAGATCCTGAACAACTTTCATTATACTTATACTAATTTTTATTTCAATTTCTAACCTCCTATTTTAAGGATCTACTCTCTCTCCCCTTTCGTTCAGAGACAAGAGCAGAAACAAGTTAGCATTGCCTTGTCAACCGAACTACCGTTGTCCCTCTTTTGATGTGGAAGAGCAGACATTTAAATGCCACACCCTACTGGGTAAAGCATCTCAGACAAATATATAAATTTGTTAAGATTAAGCCTTTACTTAGTGACTTACCCTAATACTTGCCAATAATCTCCTACATCAACTGTCAACTGAAGACCACTCAAAGGAATTGTACCCATAAGGACATCATTTTTGGTAAAGTGAAGAGTCATCAAAAAAGAGGAAGGTGCCCCCCAATGAGATGGATGGGCCCAGTGGTAGCAGCAGCAATGGGCTCAAATGTTACCAATTGTGAGGATGGTACAGGACCGGGAAGTGTTGCGTTCTGTTGTACAGAGGGTCGCCGTGAGTCACAAATGACTCAGTGGCACCTGGCAACAATGTGACCCCAGCAGGGGACTAGGACTTCTTGACTCCTCTCTGAGACTGTCATTAGGCAGCTACTGCCCCGGCTGGGACAGAAGACAAGCCTGGGTGCTGGGCCCCACATGTAGGGGCGCAGAAGGAGAAGTACCCATCCAGTTCTGTTGGGAGAAAGAGTTGGAGGTATTCAACTAAGGAGTAGTGAGCATAGACAAAGTTCACCACTGGTTTTACATAAGGCGCCACAACATCCTAAGTTGGAAAGCGAGGACACCTCCCATGGTTTGACTAGCGGTCATGCCAAACCAGTCCCCTTTGCTTAAAAGGAGGAAAAACCAGGAAGAGAGAAGAGGGCAAGTCCCTGTCAATAATGAGGACTAAAGGGGGAGTTAGGGTCCAAAGGCTCCTTAAGGCTCCAAGCCATTGATGTAGAATGCCCGCCATGGCATGCTACAATCATCCTGCTTCCATTTATCAAGATGCAGCTAACAAGCTCCTGCCAAATCATGATTCCGTTGTATACACCAGCAATACACTGAACTTAGCAGCCTCACTAGGGAAAAGACCGTCGGAGTTTACCAACTCCTAACCATGCACTTCGCTCCTCTGAGGGGGCTTGGGTTTGGTTAAGAATTGACTCTAATAAAGTCCTTGGAGAAGACTTCAGATTTGTGTTTAGGGCACACTGTGTGTCCTGATGAAGGATGTGTAGCATCCGCCAGTCAGTCCAGGTAAGGTCAGAAATGAAGCACCGTAGGACACCAGCATCTCCCACGGACACTCAAAGGTCATTCGAATGCATTGTTTTATAGTATCTGGTGCTTCTAAGTCCTCACATTCTCCTCATAAACACACGCACGCCACACACCATGCAACTTAACATTACAAAGATACACAGTAGACAACTAGAGTATATGTGGACCCATTCAAAGCTCTATGGGGTGCGCAGTGGCTCTATGCAGTAAGCACCAGACTGCGAACCACAAGGTTGGCGGCTCAAGCTCACCAGCCGCGCTCCGTGGGAGAAAGATGAGGCTTTCTGACCCCGCAGGGATTTAAAAAGCCTTGAAAACCCTATACAGGGTCACTATGAGTCAGAACCAACTCACCGACATCAAAGCTTCACGGTGTCCCTTTTGGACCCAGACCCAATTAAAGCCATATGGCATTAAGTAGGCACTCATGAGTCAGAATTGAATCGAGGGCAGTGGATGGGAATAGCTCACACATCACAAAATCCACAGAAAGAAATGCCAACAGCCCAATCCTTCATGCTCCTCAAGTGGCTAGTCTCCGGAAAATCACATCCCTGAGTCTTCTTCACTGTGATGGAAAAAATGACTCAAAATATGTTTAATGACAATAATTTCACACATACACACACATACATACATATGAGTCCACAAATTCCTGTAGCACAGCACATCCCGAGCCATTTCCTTATATGCAAAAACAGGTTTTCTTGAACAGCAGGTAGACACTGACGATATTCGTATTTGCTTCAGATACATACGGTTTTCCTGTATGTTGTAGTTCAGATTTCCACTGCTGTCACGAGAGCATGCTCCTACACAGCTGTTTGTTATGATAAGCCATTTATTTGTGTTTAGACTTTTTCTTGTTGTAGAAATAAACCTTGAATTTTGTCCATCTTGAGTCTTGAAAGTGTTCATCAAATAATAGGCAAGTTTTAAAACACCAGCTCTCTGAGCAGTAAAATCTTGTTAAGAGATGTAATTGATTTACAAGATAAATTGGAGACCAAGTGTTCAAGACCCAAGGGGGAAAACAAACAATTTCCTAACACCCCACTGTGAGAGGGGGCAGAAGCGTCAGTCCCTCCAATGGGCACAAGCCGGGGGCGTGAGCACCCACCCTGAGGCCCACTACAAACAGACCAGCTCTGCTTTTTCCCGTATATTAGTGGGCGTCTGCAAATCATGTGAAACAAAGGGTGTCCTTCACAAGGCCTCAACTGTAACCAGTCATCTGATGACACGGAGGAGGGTCGCTGATGATCTCAGTGTCTCCGTCACACTGTGGAGCCATCTGGAGTACTGATTACATACCTTTCTGTAATAAAAGTCAAGACTGCCATGGTATTTACACGTAATTTTTTTATCTGATGCAGAACATTATCATTACACAACCTTTGTTCTAGAGGGGGTCAGAGCAGGGAGGGCTTGTCAGTGTCCCTGGGGCCCAAGGTTCCACCCCTGGAGCATCAACATATCTACTGAGGGGCTTCTGCGAACGTGGGTCTTACAGCCACATTCAGGGTCTGAAAACAAACTAGGGATTGGCACCCCAAGAGATGACATCTAACTCTGAATAAAGCAAAAACGAAACAAGCTCCGAAGTGAGACTGCAAAGCCATCACATGAACGGTAGCCGGCTGTCAGTTGGCCGACCCCTGCTGGGTCTGAAGGGAAACCGGTCATTGGGGCCTCCTCGCCCTGGCAAGATGGGGTTCGGTCCTGGGAGAGGGCCAGTTGGATCGAAACGTGGTCTGAGTGGAGGGAACTGGCCAGGAGTCTCCCCAGGACCAGGGATGAGTGAATTGATTGGGTCCCCAACAAAGGGTAGCATTGGCCTCACATCGTAGTCTCCTCCGATAATCCCTGGAGGATAGAGAGGGTTGGAGGGAAAAGGCCTAGTGTATAAGGGGTAGGGGGGGTAGGGGTAGAACGGGTGGTTATGGGACGGCGTCTGCTGGAACATCGCGTGCCGCCCTCTCTGCATCTCCCGCCTCTGCTTGTGTTTCTTCTTGTACAGCTGCGCAAAGAAAATACCAGCATTCGGTAAGCCAGTTGGCGAAGGGCAGGGGCCTAAAGTTTGAATTCGCTTTCACTGTGTAAATCCATCTGTACTTTTCCCATACCAGCTAGGCAGGCAAAGAATGACCCAGAAGAAAACCGCTCCCAGTTTCGACCTTCATGAAGAAGTTAGGAGCTCAGTGAACGTTAGTCCTTAACCACGTGGCAACTGAGCAACTGTGCTCATGTGAAATAACAGCAAGTCCAAAGGAGGACAACCGGACGGCATGCACTTCCAGACTGCAATGTAACCAGAGTGCAATTCTAACTCAGCCTCTTCCGAACTGGGAAACCTGGACTGTTGTTGACAAGGACAGGCCACAAAGTAGGGACTGAAGGAACTGGGCAAGGGGGAGTCACAACACTGAACTCTCTTAGTCCACCTAAATTACGTCTTTAAAGGATCGCAACTTATACAAGAGAACATCTGAGTGGATGGCTATATGGAGAGATGGAATGGAATCTTAGGAAATAATACTGCGTACTTGGCACATATTAAGGGGCTTCAAAAAGTTCACGGAAAAATGGAATGAAAAGATAATGGAACTTTTTCTACAAATTTTTTTGAAGCCTCCTCCTATCTAAGAACTCGATTCCTTCATCCCAAGAGTTTCTCTCAGTTCCATCCATGTCTTAGCATGCTTTTCTACAAATAAAATGTATTCTTTTCAGTGTCCTATTCTAACTAGGTGAACTGAAGAGCAGCCCAGCACAAAGATGATTTTACCTTAAAAAGGGGGTTTACAGCAAAAGGAGGATATATGATGATGTTCTGTATTAAGTGAAGGTAAGGAACAATATTTCAAAGTATTTCCCCGTGTAACTACAGGAAAACATGCACCATGTCTAAGGCGCACACATGGTGACATACTGGTTCAGTGCTTGGATGATAACTGGAAGTTCAGTGGGTCAAACCCATCAGCTGAGCTGCACTGAGGAAGAAAGAGGAGGCTCTCTATTTCTGTAGATTACAGCCGTGGAGACGCCACAGGATTGATATGAGTTGGAATTGGCTCACTGGCACAAAATAAAGTTGACGGTGAAATCTGAAAATATTCTCAATTGCTAAAACATAGCTATAAACTTAATAAAACAAATTTTATTATATCATGATAGTGAAACTATATCCTCAGTGTATTAATTCCAGTTATTTCTGCTATAAATAATATTTACAAACACCTACCTCTTTCCAATCTGTGTCTCGAGCTCTGGCTGTACTATCTACAAAGAAGAATAAAAATTAAAACTCTTCATTCATCCAACATTAAACAGTTTGTTTGGGGGGATGCGGGGGGAAGTGATTTATTCTCCACACGTATATGGAAAGAAGACCTATAGAAGCTCTCACCCAGTTACCCTGAAAGTAAATTCACTCTAAAATCTGAACACCGAGCTGACAAACTGACACATCAGCTTGTGGACCACCATCTGGAAACGAAGATAGTCAACAGCTGAACTTCAACCTGGACTTAACACATACGTGCAAGGGTACCTGTCCTGTTATATATGAGAGTCTGCTTTAGTTCTCCCATATACGTGGGCCACTTTGTCACTCATTTTAACTATTATTAGAACTTTTTTGAGATGACACTCTTACTTGTGGCTTCCTGTGAATAAGGACCATATCAGTTTTTGGATTCAGGGGCAGAGTTAAAGGATGGAGGAAAAGGACATCCCAGACCGTGACTAGTTCTTATGTTTTCAAGTTAAAAAGCAACAGGGAGACCTACTCCCCCAAAATATGATTTGTTAACACCATACAGAGCACTATCATTCAAACTTTCTAGGTGCAAATCACAGAATAAATATGTTAACATTACAACCCTATCTATATACAAGGCACTGTTCCTACTGAAGCTGAAGTGAGCTCCTAACTTATAAAACGCATGCTGATTTTTCTAACTTTTTTTGTTTTTGTAAAATGACCCATTAAAAACTGATTTCATGACTCACTCCAGCAGTCTGAACCCCACTGAGACACCATCACAAGGCAGGCGTTCCCTCTTGTGTCTGGGATCCTGGCGCATACTGACAAAGGTCTTTGATGTTTTGGATCAACTCGCCCCATTTCCCAAGTATCATTGACTGTCATCAGTACTGCAGGAGTCACCACGCCACCATCATGTGACCAGACAGAAATAAAATGTCCGTAGCAGCATGCCATAGGTCAGTAGGATGCTCTTAACCGGCAGACTGCTCAGAACCTATGAAACTCATTCTCTTCTGTGGGGGCTGAAAACATCTACTCCCCGCTGCTCCTTTAAGAACTGAGTGTTTGGACACTGTCTGCCTGCAGGATGTGGATACCGCTACTGTTTTTGCCACAACCTCTCCCACAGGAATTATGGGAAAAGTTCATCTCAAATCTGTTTTTAAAGACACATGAGGGACAACAGGAAGGCAGACGAAAAACAGCATCTTTATCTTATTCCAGTCAGAATTCAAACACTTCAAAGTTCATTATCTACATGAATTCCCCAGACCACTAATCTCCTTTTGTACTTCAGAAACCTTCCGAAGAATATTGTTTAAAGAATGGATAAAGTCTATGTAAAATAATGCTATAAAGCTATGCTATAAATTACAGTGTTAGCATGAATCTGCCTTAGTCACTTACTTCCTCCACACTATGCAGCCACCAGGAGTCCTGGTGTGGCACTGTGGGTCAATGCAATGCACTGCAAAGTCGGTCTGAATCGCAAAGTCGCAATTCAAACCCACCAGCCGCTCCTCGGAAACCCTAAGCAGGGTCACTGTGAGTCAGAACTGACTTTGCAGCACTTAACAACAACAATAGATAAGAGTCACCAAGGTATCAGTGTGCACTTCAAAGATATGACCTCATTCTTGTTAGTGTAAACTTCAAAACAAACTTCTCATTCTGACCAAACTTCAGTGAATGTCAACTGTCAATAGGCCCTTACGTGGGACATCGGAAACAATTTATTCATTAAGCGCATGCAGTGTCAATCTGTGGTCATCAGGATAAAGAACTATCCTTTTGAGGTCTGAGTAGAAAGAAATTTTTTCTCAATAGAATTATTGAGAATTAATCATTATTAATCATAATAGACACATAAACTACAAACACATGTATAGAAAGAGAGGAAAGGAGGTACAACAGAAGTTACTCAGAGAAAAAAACAAGGCCCCTTTGGTCTACACATGCAAATCTAAGTTTAATTATAGTGAGTCCCTAATTTATTTGCAAATTTAGACTACAAGATGATTGATAACCTAGGGGTTCAAATTTGAATAATACAGATACTGAGAATGCTCTACACAGGGAGAAAAAAAAATCAACCCAACTTCATTTCTCTCTCCTTACATAATCTTAGTCTAATAAGCCATTTGAGTGGTGGAGAACACAAAGATGAATGAGAAGAGAATTTAGACAAAGATACATATGGAGTCCTGGTGTGGTTCAGCCACAGGACAAGCACTTGACCTGAAGGTCAGTGGTTCAAACTCAATAGCGGCTCCTAAGAAACCCACACAAGGTAGCTATGAGTTGGAACAGACACAACGGCACTTAACAGCAACATATGAAACTTAGCATCTCTCTAGTTGATCACTGTAGTTGTCACAAACAGTAATAATAACAGGCAAACCACACAAACCCTTTTGCAAGCTGAGGAATAAGACGTTGGTGGAAAGAGCCCTAGCCAAGGTGGCCGGGTGGGCCTCACCTCGGAAATCCCTCAGGTACAGACACCTCCACAGCAGCGGGTCACTGGCAGCAATGCAGAGGTCACGACAAACTGCAGACAAAGACAGGACTGAGCGAACATCCAAAAGTCGCAAGATACGTAGTTTCAGCTCCAACGGGAGGACTACCAACCCAAACACATCTGGTAGGTTCAGGGCTAAAAGAAACACAGAGAAAAATCATAGGTATGAGGGCATACAGAACAGTCAGCTTTCACCACATATTCAAGAAAAATTGCCAACTTACTGCTTCCTAAAACGTACCAACTTATTAGATGGGAGTCTGAATTATTCAACAGTATGTAACTGCTAACCCGAGGCTGACTACCTAACTGCCACATCACCTATCTCTAGTCCCTTCATCCCCTGTATCATTTCAGTGACTATAAATACTGACTAGTACTAATGACTAGGACAACTTCTAGGAAGCTCTTAGGCAGTGGGTTAAGTGTTGGGCTGCTAACCACAAGGGTAGCAGTTCAAGCCCACCAGTGTTTTTGTTTCCATGAAGATTTACAGTCTCAGAAACTTGGGGGAGTTCTATTCTGTCTTACAGGGCTGCTCTGAGTCAGAATTAACCCACTGGCAGAGGGTATGACAATTTCTAAAGACTAGCCAATGATCTCTAGTATCCCAAGCAATATTCAGTGTGACACAATTTGTTTATTCAGATCCAAAAATAAAAATAAAAACCTTTAATAGTTGATTCTCAGCCCTACCATTTATCAAGGAGCTCTGGTAGCACAGTGGTTACGAATCGGGCTTCTAACCTCAAAATCAGCAGTTCGAAACTACCAGCTGTTCCACAGGAGAAAGATGAGGTGTTCTGCTCCCGTAAAGATTTACAGCCTTGGAAACCCTATGCAGGGTCACTATGAGTCGGAACCAACTCCACGGCACGTAACCACCACCACTACTTATAAACTGTTTGGCTTTGGATAAGTTATTTAACCTCTGACGCAGTATCCTCCATCTGTAAAATGGGTTAATTACACTACCAACTTAACTACGTAAATACTATATGTGTTCACACAGAGCACTCAGAAACATCTGGCATATAGTATGCCCTCAAGTGTTAGCAATTACTACTATTTCATGTCTTGGGGGCGAGGAGGCCAAGAAAGGGAAATAAAAGGAAGAATAAGATATTCCAAAGTAAAATGTAAATTGCTTTTTGAGTATTAATTTTGGAATATTTGTGAAACAATTCTCCACTAGCAAAGATCATCAAAATCCAGTATCTCTAAGTGTTTCACACTTCAGAGTCTTCCCTGCAACCCCACCACCAACTAAAGAAAAAAACTATGGTCACAACTGCCAAGGCCCCAGGCAACTTGAGACCTAAATGGTTATGCATTTCTCTGCAGAGAATTAGCAAAGGCAAGCCAGAGATCTACCTATATCTTTGTATAAGTCTGAAACTACTTAATAGCTCGAGAACTGCGGCAGATTATATCAGGGTTCCCAACTAATCATTCCCCGCCTTATAATTACGGTTGCCACCTCACTGTCATCAAGGATTAGCCATGTATGACGGGTTTTGTCCCACAAAATGTGAGCAGAGGTGATAAATATCATTTCTCAGCAAAAGCTTTAACAACTAGCATAGGGTTGGGCCACAGGTCCTATTTGCCCTCTGTTCCATGTAGACAATAATATTCTTGAGGCAGAAAATGCTGCCAAAGTGAATTCACACACATATACATGAGCAAGAAAGAAATACTCCTGTAAGTCACTAAGAGATGGGAATACTTTTACAGCAGCACAAATTAGAGAAAGCTGATGTGTGGGGATCTTGAGTAGATGATAAACCTTTCAGTTAGTTTCATCTTCTATAAAATAATAATAATAAAATCTACTTCAAAGCTGTTAGCATTAAATGAAAATGCATATGAAACATCCAATAAAGTACCTGGCAGAGTCCCAATAAATGTTTGTTGAAAAAAAGGAAAATCTAGACCCACTTTACAGGAAACACATTATTTATGTTTACTGACCAAATACTGGGCAGGTAACTGCAAGGTTGGCAGTTCAAACCCACCAGCCGCTCCTTGGAAGCGAGTCAGAACTGACACAACAGAACCGAACGTTACAGACCAGACTCTGCCAGACTGTGAGGATACAAAAGTGAAAACGCACTCTGTCATCTCATATGGACCCTGGCTGTAAATTTTATAGGAGCAGAAAGCCTCATCATTCTCCCAAGCAGTGGCTTGTGGGTTTGAACTGCTGACCCTTGTGGTTAACAGTCCATATCTTATCCTGTAACTCCACCAGGGCTCCACATTCATAAACCTAGTTGTTGTTAAGTGCCATCCAGTCGTTTCTGACTCACAGCGACCCTGTCTAGGATTTCCAAGGAGCAGCTGGTGAGTTTGAACGGTCAACCTTGTAGTCCAATGCTTATTCTACAGCGCCACACCAGGTAGAACGAAATCATATCCATGACAATGCACTGAGACATCATACAAAAAAAAAAAAGCCCACAGCTGTTAAAGAGTCACTACAGGAAGGAGCTCTGGTAGCGTAGTGGTTACGAATCGGGCTGCGAACTGCAAGGTCAGCAGTTAGAAACTACCAGCTGCTCCGTGGGAGAAAGATGAGGCTTTCTGCTCCCGTAAAGATTTACAGCCTCAGAAACCCTGCACAGGGTCGCTATGGGTCAGAACCGACTCCACGGCACTTAACACCACCACCACCAGGGAAGAGGAGAACTGTAACCTATGGAAGCAGATTGCCACAGCTTTGTTCTGTGGAACAGCAAGTGGGTTCCAACTGCTGACTTTTCAGCTACCTTAACCACTGCACCACCAGGGCTCCTGGCTGTTAAGTGCCCTTGAGTCAGTTTTGCTCCGACCCTACGCCTTAGAGCCATCGTAAAGATGTATCAGACACTATGGAAATACACAAGGAACTCCCACTGCCGCTTAAAGAGCAGACCCTCTAGGAGACAAGAGGGAGACCAGGTACACAGGGTATCCTTCCAGCCATGTAGCCTGCGGAGACTTCCCAGCTCACCTTGTCGGCTGAGAGCCAGAAGTGGGTACACCAGCTGGTCTTTGAAGAGGCGGGAGAGCTTCGGAAGATCTTTGTATACTTTGGCTGCATTGTCCTCTAGATTTGGTTTTTTAATGAAAAATTAGAACACAAAGAAAAACTTGAAACAATATTCTCTGATTCTGCCAAGCAAATCAAAAGGGGAATAAATATCACAAATAGCAATTCCGACACAATAACATAAACCCGAGTCCCTAGAAGAGGAGGTATCGAACATGACTAATAAACATGAACTTTAGATGTGAAGGGGAAAACCCCAAGATAATCAAATTAATAGAGCTGTGCTCAACGTGTCCAGCTCAAACACTGCCAGTCTAGTAGACAAAAATGTCTCTACTCCTTGGATCCTTAAAACAGAACTGGATTCATTACTGTCAAGTCAATTTCAACTCATGGTGATCCCGTGTGTGTCAGAGTAGAGCTGTACTCCATAGGGGTTTCAGTGGCTAATACTTCAAAGTGGACCACTAGGCCTTTGTTTCAGCGTGGGTTAACTGCTGCACCACCCAAGGACTCAAAAAGGATCCTTAGAGAGACCATCATGAAAACAAGAGTGCTAAACACTGGCCGAGTCTGGCATTCAATATTCCATGTTCCCTTCAAGTAATGCCAAGTTTTGATTCAACCAGAAACCATTATCATTGCATACTCTAAGGTCTTCTTTTCCTCCCAGGTGTAGACTGTACAAGTCAGTCTCACAGGGCCTGATCTCCCAGAGAGCAACTAACAAGACTAAATCTCTTGGCCTTCAAAGCAAAGGTCTAGTCCAGCCAGCCTTCCCTTAAAATGCAAATGTGGTCTCCTCAGTGCTCCATACCTGGATTCTAAATCCTCCTCCTCTGCTTACTACGAGGATCAAATGGGAAAATGTAAAGGCACATGTCCAGTACACAACACTTACAAGGTATCATTCCCCCACCCACCCTTCTGGTCTTTGACCACCTACCTGCTTTTCACAGCCTGGGCTTAAATGGAAAATAATGCAAAGAAAAATCTGTCATCTTTGCATCTATTAATATTTCTATAAAATACAAGCAAAATCATGTCTATCATGAAATGTTTGGGTAAGACATCAATCAAACCAAAATTGACAGGCAGCCCCCACCCAGGCTACCAATGTCTGACTTAAACCTATCATAACAAACCAAGCACCATAAAAAGCCTAGTATATTAAAATTCGAGGTACAGACCATGGTTCACAGTAACAAACAGGTAACACAATCACTATGTTAAAGATGGTTCCGGTATATCTGCAAGTGTTCCAGTGATTCTGATACATATTTGACACATAGAAAGGTACCCCATACACATGTGCTGTTGCTGTAAGGGCCAGCTCCAGCTCACAGCAACCCTGAGTAGGGTTTCTGAGGAGTAGCTAGTGTGTTTGAACCACTGACCTTGCAGTCAGCTACCCTATGCTCATCCTACAGCGCCACACCAGGACTCATCTGGAGGGCGTTTTTCCTCCAAGAAGCTTCAGTAATGACATAGCACTGTTACTTCCACAAATGCCATAGGTCCTTCTCTCCACATGAAATACAATATGACAGAGCCCGAGAGACACACACAGAAACCACGAAGTCGCAACCAGAGTGTGATGAGTCTGTCATGTTACACAAGCAGTGAAGAGAAGGCCATTTAGCTCTCGAGTGAGCCTAAGAGAAGCAGGAGACAGCCAGTGTCATCGTCCCACACACACACACACACACACACACACACACACACACAATCATGGAAACCCTTGCACTTTTCACAGTCTGGTTGATGTCATCGGCTCCCTGAACCATGTGCGTGGGCAATGAATATTATTGGTGTTTTTACAACAATCAAAACCATGCTTTGAACCCACCCATGAGCTTTCTTGCCTTTGACTGCTACCGTTCATGCACCGGAGGGGTCAGCTACAAGGGTGCATTACCTGGTTCCCCTTTGCAAATAAAAGACTCCGGCAGCAGCTGCAATCGTTTTACACTTCTGATCTCATTGCAGATTTTTAGGGTGGCTGTAAAGACACAGGAAACAAATGATGAGAAGGCTGTCACTTCCTCAGTTACCTGGCATTTCTTTGCCCCAACACCCTAAAGGCCCATTCATTAGTCAAGAAATTATACCGAAAACAAACTGCTCCCAGCCCTCAAAAGGTCAATGAGGTACAAACTCGAAGCCACATGAAATAAAATTCCCCTTAAAAAAAAATAAATAAATAAAATGACAGTAGGCATCTGCATATGAACAGCCACAAAGTATTATCAACAGCAGCTTACATGTAATTGGAGGCAGTGAAATACAATGAACTCTTTATTTCTATTGAGGTCACTAAAAACTCCATTTGTTTTTCATTTAACCCTTGGCAATGAGTCTTGCTTTGTCCATTAAAAGAAGCTGCCAGTTTTCACAGCATCATCCCTCCCTAGGCCCAAATGACCGATATTCTTGACAACACTCGAGGGCTCAAATTGAATCATACATACAAAGGCACCCTTCATCTCATCCCATGAAAGAGCCAGTGATGCATATGTGCCCTGAGAGCACTGAGCTGAATGCTTTGGGATCAGAGAAAATATTCAAGGACACACTGCTCCTTTGCAAAGACTCACACCTGGAACAGCTGGCTGCCATGTAAGTCTGCAGGTAGCTGACTTACCAAGAATAATAAAGGGACAAAAGAGAAACTAGGAAACCATCAAGAGAGACAGGCAGTTGCAGATAGTGGCATAGTTAGATGCCTCATAATGTCCCTCTCACAGCAAAGCATGTAAAAAGTGAACCAGATAGAGATGACCACTTTGGAACCCTGAGCATCAAAGGCGAGGCTGAAGAAATGGAGCGAGCGCCAAGTGGACGACAAGACTGTCCGGAAACAGCAGAGAAGACTGCATGCTGGCGCCTGGGCAGCTGAACCTGTACACTGCAGCCACAGGACAGCAGAGCAGGCAGTGTTCCGAGCCGAAGCCCTCACCACCTGGCACAGCCACGCAGGAGTGACTCTGTACCCACATCTGGAGCTAGGCAGGAGGGTGCCCATTCTGCAAAACCTAACAGCACCCACTGCATGCTCTCTGCACCCATGCAGCCAGAGGACCACAGCCTGCCTGTGAAAGTGAGAAGACTGCTGTTGCACCAAGGGGTTGCAACTGTTAAAAAATCATTAAATGGAAAACTAATATGTTAGGAAACAACATGTGTATAAATCTTTGAATGGGAAACTAATATGTTAGGAAATAACATGTGTATAAATTGTTGAATGGAAAATTATTATGTTAGGAAACAGAATGTGTATAAATCGTTGAATGGGAAACTAGTATGTTAGGAAACAACATGTATATAAATTGTTGAATGGAAAACAATTATGTTAGGAAACAGAATGTATACAAATCATTGAATGGGAGATTAATATGTTAGGAAACAGAATGTGTAAAAATCGTTGATTGGGAAACTAATACGTTAGCAAACAACATGTGTATAAATCGTTAAATGGGAAACTAATACATTAGCAAACGTGTATAAATCGTTGAATGGGAAACTGATACATTAGTAAACGTGTATAAATCGTTGAATGGGAAACTGATATGCTCTGCAGACTTTCACTGAACCCTGAATAAAATATTCAATCAATCAATGAATAATAAAAGGTCAATCTCCACCCCCAGTAAGAACAAAACCATAATACGTATCCCACACCCAACACATAACACATCTACACACCCAATGACAGAACTCCAAAATGCACTGAAGAGAGACACAGACTTCCCACAGTAAAAATAAGTAACTTCAATACACAACTTCTGGAGAACGACAGAATCGGAGAAAGTTCAACAAAGACACAGATCTTAATGCCATGATCAACACATTCAACCGCACACCGCACACCTACCAAGCAGCAGCAAAATATGCATCCGTTTCCCAGGCAATGGAGTCCTGGTGTTACGCTGTAGGATAATGCACTAGACCGCAAGGTCAGTTTGAAGAGCAAGGTCAGTGGTTCAAACTCATCAGCTTCTCTTTGGAAACCCTATACATGGTCAGTATGAGTCGGAACCAACTTAACCGCACATGACTATCAAGACAATGGATCATTCCACAACAGATCGGGGTTTAGGCCACAAAGCCAGTCTCCATAAGATCCACAACACTGAACAAAGCATGTTCTCTGATCACAATGCTACAACAGAAGAAACCAGTTACAGGAAGAGTAAGGGGAAAAAATGTCAAGTACATGAACCTTAATGATTTCACCTAGTTTAAAAACCACTGCATAACAAGAAATCAAAGATGAAATTTAAAAATTCCTAGATTAAACAAGAATAAAAAGGTAGCACACCAAACCTTTTAGAACAGAGCAAAAGCAGTATTCAAGATGTCAATTTAAAGAAGGACCATCAAAGCATTCAACTTACAACTCTCAACTGGAAAGAGAGCAGCAAAAGAAGGCCATGTCACCAGAAGAAAGGAGATAACAAAGATTAGAGCAGAAGTAAATGAATCAGAACAGATAATAAAAATAATCAATAAGACCAGAAGCTGGCTCTTCGAAAGGAAGGATCAATAATATTGACAAACCACTAGCCAAATAGACAAAAGAACTGCAGGAGACTAATTATCCGCCTCCCCGCCCCACCCCCCCAAAACAAAAATGAGCTAGGAATACCAAAGCATAACCAGCTGAACTAAAAAGGATCCTAACAGAATAATACTAATCTAAACTAACACAGAGCACCAGGCAGCTCTGTCAGATAAGCACTAGACTGCAAACCACAAGACGGGCAGTTTAAGGCCTCCAGCTGCTCCTTGGGAGATAGATGAGGCTCTCTGTTCCCATAGATTTACAGACCCGGTAAACTATACAGAGTGTCCTGAGTCAGAAGCAACCCAAGGGCACTTAGCAATAAAGAAACACAACTGAGGTAGAAAAATGTAACAGATCCATTAAGAAAAGAAGAGATTGAAAAGGTAATCAAAACTACCATCAAAAAGCAGCCCTGGGCCAGACAGCTTCATTGGGGAACTCTGTCAAACATTCAAACAGCTAACACCAATACTACTCAAAATATTTCAGGGCATGGTTACTGTTAAATGCTCAAGTCAATACCAACTCACAGCAACCTTATGCACAACACAATGAACCTCACAATCGTTGCTCGGCTTAAGCCCATTGCTGCTGCCACTGTGCCAATCCATCTCGTTGAGGCCCTTCCTATTCTTCACCGACCGTCTACCAAGCACAATGTCCTTCTCCAGGCACTGGTCTCTGCTGGTATGTCCTAAGTGTGAGAGACAAAATCTGGCCATCCTGGCATCTAAGAAGAAATGCTGGCTGTATTTCTTCCAACAGATCTGTTTGTTCTTTTGGCAGTTCATGGTATTTTCAATATTCTTCTCCAACACCATAACTCACAAGCATCAATTCTTCTATGGTCGTCCTTGTACACTGTCCAACTTTCACATGCATTTGAGGTTACTGAAAATACCATGGCTTGAGTAAGGTGCACCTTAGTCCTCAAGCTGACATCTTTGCTCTTCAACACTTTAAAGAGGTTTTGCACAGCAGATTTGCCTGATGAAATGCGTTGTTGAGAGATTTCTTGACTGCTGATTCCATGAGTGTTAACAGTCGATCAGAGTAAAATGAAGTCTTTGAGAACTTCAATCTTTTCTTCATTTAAAGATATTATTTAACTCATCCAGTAGTAAGGATTTCTGTTTTCTGTACATTGAGGTGCAACCCATTAATGAAGGCTGTGGTGTTTGATTTCAGAGCACAGAAAAGGAATACTCTCGAATCCATTCTATGAAGCCAGCATAACCATGGTGACAACAAAGTCAGGCAAAAAAAAGAAAATTAAGCACCCATATCTTTTATGAATGTAGACAAAAAAATTCACAACAAAATTTTAACCAATCGAATCTAGCAGCATATCAAAAAAAAGAATTATAACCAAGTGGGATGTAAAGATTTTTCATCATTAGAACAATGGATGTAATCTAAAACATAAATAGAACAAAAGAATCACACGATCATCTCAGTCAGTGCAGAAAAGGCATTGGTGAGGTCCAACACCCATTCCTGATAAAACCTCTCAGCACAATTGCAATAGAAAGGAAATTCCTCAACATAACAAACAGCATTTATATAAAACCAACAGCCAACACTATTCTCAACAGGACTGAGAGTATTCTCCTTGACAATGGGGACCAGACATGGATCCCCTTTATCATCTTGATCACTTACTCAACACTGCACTGGAAGTCCGAGCTGGAGTAATAAGGCAGAAAAAAGGAAGAGAGCACATTAAAATCAGTAGGAAGAAGAAAACTACCCCTATTCACAGATGATATGATCCTATATAAATACAAAATACCAAAGATTCCACAAGAGAATTCCTAACAGAAGGAATCAGCAAAGTAGCAGGATACAAGATTTACAAACAAAATTAATTAGATTTCTCTACTTAAACTAAGAGAACTTAGAAAATAAAATCAAGAAAACAATACCATTTACAATCACTGCCCACTCCCAAGGATAATATACTTAGGAATAAATCTAATCATGGGTATTAAAAAACCTACACAAAGAAAACTATAAAACACTACGACCAAAAAAATAAGAGAGACCTCTGTATTAGTACATGGAAAAGCACACCATGCTTATGAACAAAAAGATTTAACATCATGAAAACAATGCTACCCAAAGGGATCTACAAATATAATGCCTTCCAAATCCAAATTCCTGGAGAAGAGCTGCCTCCTCAAAGTAGAGTTGGCCATGATGACATGAATGGAGTAAAAGCCCACGGGACCTTCATTTGCGGATGGGGCACAACTCATAATGAAGAGAACAGCTACTAACATCCATTAATAATCAGAACATGGAATGTATGGGCAGGTGACCTCTGACAAAGGGCCAAAATCCCTTAAAACGGGAAGAAGCAGTCTCTTCAATGAATGGTGCTGGTGAAAGTGGATGACCAACTGTGCAAAACTGACACAAACGTTATCAAAGACCTAAATATAAAACACAAAGGTATTAAGGTCATAGAAGAAAACAGGGACAAAGCTAGGGGCCCTAATATACGACATAAAAAAGAGCGCCAACATAATCACAAATGCACAAAATTTTTTTAAATGGACCTCTTCAAATTACTTATTAACTAGGCTCAGCAAAAGACTTCAAAACAGTCAACAAGAAAACCTGCTGACTGGGCCAAAAATTTTGCTACGAAACATCTGACAAAGGTCTAAACTCTAAACTTTATGTTGTTGTTAAGCGCTGTCGAATCGGTTCCGACCCATAGCAATCCTGTATAGGGTTTCCAAGGAGCGGCTGGTGGGTTTGAACTGTCAACCTTGTGGTTGAGTGCTTACCTTATAGCACTGCATCAGAAAACTTCAATACCTCAACAACAAAAGACAAACAATCCAATTAAAAAATCGGCAAAGGATGTGAACAGACAACTTTACCAGAAGACCCATTTAGAAGGTAACAAATACATGAATAAACGCTTCAATCATTAACCACTGTAGCTGTTGTTAAGTGTCAAGTCGTTTCCAGTGCATAGCGAGTCTGAATAGGGTTTCCAAGGAGTGGCTGGTGAGTTTGAACTACAACCTTGCATGTTAAACCAACCTTGCCCTTTGCAGTCCAGTGTTTATCCTATAGTGCCACACCATTAGCCACTGTTGTTGTTGTTAAGTACTGTCGAGTCAGTTCCAACTCATAGTGACCCTGTATAGAGTTCTCAAGGAGCAGATGGTGACCTTGAACTACCCATCTTGCAAGTCAAACCAACCTTGTAGTCCAGCGCGTTAGCCTGCGGCACCACACCAAGCCTCCATTAGATATAGAAGCAAAACAAACCTATAATGAGATGGCAACTCACCCAACAATAATGGCACTAACAACAACAAAAACACAACAGAAAATAAGAAATGTTGGCAAGGTTGTGGGGAGACTGGAACTCTCATACACTGCTGGTGAAAATTAAAATGGTACAACCACTATGGAAAATGGTATCAAGAAGCTAGAAATAGAAATACCGGAAAAGCCAGAAGTCCCACTTCTACATATTTGTGGTCCTGTAAGATAAGCACTGGACTGCTAACCACAAGGTTGGTGGTTCAAACCCACCAGCTGTTCCTCAGAAACCCCATACGGGGTTGCTAAGAGTCAGAACCATCTCAATGGCACTAAACATCACACGCTAAAGAAACAAAGAAACCAGAGCCATGATACAATAGATACAGGAACACCATGTTCACTCCAGCACTGTTCACACAGGAAGATGATGAGAACCACCTACATGCCCATCAACAGATGAACAGATAGACAAACTGGTACATACACACAATGCAACAAGAGAATAACAACAACTCACAAAGCATCTGAAGGAAATTATACCAGTAAAAGGAGTCTTGTTGTGGCAATGTAGGGAAAGCACTGGACTACTAACCACACAGTTGGGTGTTCAAACTCACCAGCCACTCCTCAGAAACCCTATACAGGGACTCCTGGTGTGGCGCTGTAGGATAAGCACTGGGCTGCAAACCCACCAACTGTTTCTTGCAAACCCAATACTGGGTCATATGAGTCAGAACCAACTTCACTGTTGTTAACAGCAATGAGTCAGAACTAAATAGATGGCACTTAACAAAAACACCACCATAGTGAAAGTCAATCACAAAAGGACAAACATTGCATGATACTACGATCATTTAACAACAAAAAACATGATAAGGTTTACACACAGGGAAAAAAAAAAAAATTTTTTTTTTTTCATGGTGTGGTGCCTTGAATTTACTTGATGTGGTTTTTCTATCCAAAATTCTTCTTGATTTCCACCAAGTGATTGAGTGCTGTTGTTTCGCAATTCAAACCAACGTTATAGTCAAGTGCTTATCCTACTGTGCCACACCAGGACTCCAAGTGACTGGATGGGACCATGCAAATAAGACTAGGATTGTTAGTTTTGCCCTCCAGCTAGGTTTAAAAGGAACCATCTCAGAAGCAGAGACAGAAGACCCCAGGACCATCCAGAAGGAAGAGCATAAGTGACATGTGAGATCCCTACCTAGAGAAACAGCAACTGCAGACGTGACAGCAGAGGCGGTGGCGTGGAGGCACAGAGCAGGAGAGAGAGCAGGGCTCCACACCACCAGGGTCTGAGTAAAGCAGAGTGCCTACTGGCAAAAGACTGACTTACAGAACGTGTCCTTGGGGCATTCACAGACTGACTAGAAGAACTTTGTGTCACTTGCTCAAGCAGCACAGAGGCTGCAGACAAGAATGAGGCGTGCCTGACTGGAAAACTGCTGTGTCCTGAGTTAGTCTGATCTTGAATTGTACCCTGTTCGCTTCCCTAATAAACCCCGTAATTGTGAGGAGGTCTGTGTGGCCATTGCAGTGAATTACTGAACCCAGACATGAAGCAGAGTGCTGTGGGATTTGGTAAACATTTAACGCAACAAAAATGAAAACAAACAAACAAACAAAATCCACAAACAAAATGAACTCAGCATAGAAAATCATGTGGAACAAGAAACCAGCAGCATCACAAAAAAGAAAAACACAGCAAAATGACAGCAACGGATTCATACCTATCGATTATCACTGAATGTATATGGATTAAATGTACAAGTCAGGAGACAGACACAGCAAGATGGATAAGAAAACAGGATTCTCCAATATATGGTCTACAAGAAACACATAAAAAAGATGGAGACGGCCTAAATGTCCGTCAACAGAAGAATGGTCAAACCAACTTTACTAAGTACACACGATGGAATACTACGCAACACTGAAGACTAATGATTAATCTGCAAAACACCTCACAGCATGGATAAACCTGGAGGACACTATGCTGACTGAAATTAGTCAATCACAAAAGGTCAAATATTGTTGCAACCAATGTTTATAAAAAAGTTAAGAAAAGGTTTTCTTAATGAAAGAAACAACCTACGATGGCTGGGGGGGGGTGGATTTTGAGGGGACAAAAAATTATTCATGAGCTAGAAGGTAGAAACATGTTAACATGTGTGATGGGGCAGGCAATATACAATGAGAGAAGTTGGCAGAGGAAACATGAAGGTAGCAGGAGACACAGGGAGGAATCCAAGAGTTAAAGTGACTAGAGGTAGATACTGTTAACTGATGGCACATGGGGGGATTGCAATTATTGCAATAACAGTGTATGATTTGCTGAATGTAAAACTGATGATCTGCTGCTCTATAAACCTTCACTCAAGTCACAATAAAAAGTTTTAAAAAATGAAATAAAATTAAAAACCATACACATAGAAGGTCTCTGAACCCTTAAAAGCATTTATGCTCCTAGCAGGTCAGAGATGCCACACTGGATAAAAGTAAACCCAGATCAATCTCACCATCTCTCTGCTCAAGACCTTGGTGTAAAAATTAAAAAGGAGCCCCAAAGGCACAAGAGAAACCAAGTGCATGTCAAAGACTCATCTCGAATCTGGTACCACAGCTTTATCCCCAACAAGTTTGTTTGTATCCATAACAACTTTCACTACAAATAAAGAAAACAGAAATATAAGCAAAAAAATTACAAGGTTAAGATAGATCCAAAAAGCCTGCTGCTGGCCTACACATGAGGTCCATATTCTAGAACCTTCCAGACAGTGGTCTCAGTGTTCTATGAATAAAGACAAGAAAGACTCCTCACTCCCACCCGGCAGTGAACCATAAGTGTTCACAGACGACAATCACCCAATCACCGTTTACGACAATGAGTTTCCCCAAAGGCACGCAGGTGAGAGCAGCCGAGCCACCGTTGCACAGCGGGTGTGTGTACTGCAGCTTGTACACACCGCCCGACTTCCACTTCTCGGGCATGGATGCCGCCTTGGCTTCTGTCCCCTGGCAAAGGAAAGGAAAGAGAAACCATGATTAAAAACTGAAGAGGTCTAGAAATACTCATTCCACACCAAGTAACTCACTGCCGCTGAGTCAATTCTGTCTCATAGCAACCCCCAGGAGAGAGCAGAACTGCCCCTAGGATTTGCTAGGTTGTCACCCTTAAAGAAGCGGATAGCCAGGCCCTTTTCCCAGAAAGCCACTGGGTGGGTGGGTTCACACTACCAACCTTTTGGTTGGCAGCTGAGCACTTAACCAATGCACCACCAGGGCTCTTGGCCAAATAAACTAAACCCACTGCCATCAACTTGGTTCCGAGGCATTGAGACCCTACAGGATGGAGCAGAACTGCCCAGAGGATTCCCCAGGCTATATATCTAGACAGACACAGATTGGCACATCTTCCTCCTGCAGAGTGGCACGTGGCTTTGAACCACTGACCTTCTGGATAGCAGCTGAGCAAGTCACCACCACACCAGTTCCTTTAGTAATATGTGTCAAATCATTCTTGTTGTTGTTGTTAAGCACTGTTAAGTCAGTTCTGACCCATAGGGACCCTGTATAGGATTTCCAAGGAGTGGCTGGTGAGCTTGAACCGTCGACCTTGTGGTTCAAACCAGCTTTGCAGGCCAGCGTATTAACCCACCGCTCCACACCAGGAGAGTGGAGTCTAATAAGTTTTATCAACAGTTTCATTCACAGAGATTAAATAGCCTCACAAAACAGGGCCTAACTGCTCTAAGACTCAGTTCTACCTAGCAAAGTCTAGTCATGATTCAAGATCCAGCTCAAACACCAGTCCCTCCCTTTGTGAAGCCTTAAAACAAACTTCAGTTTGTCACGTCTTCTCTTTCATCCCTAACATGTCTGCTCCCGGGTCCACTGTCACACACGTCCAACATGTTACTTATCATCACACACTATAATTATCTTTTCATCTGTCTCTCCTTAGGGTCAGGACTGTCCTAACTCTAGGCTAGATGCAGGAATTCATTGAGCAGAGTGGACGACTTCCGATCTGTGCCACTCAGAGCCTGACCTGCAGCCCATCGCTGTTCCGGCGGAACAGGCAAGATCTCAGGCTGCAGCAGACTTGGGAAATCACAATCTGCATTTTTAATAAGACTCCTCCAACGAATGAACAAAAGGAATGACAGCCGAAGAACAATGTCATCTTCCTACCTGAATCTGAGCAACTTACCAGCATTTCAGAGACAGTGACACCCAAAAATACAACGGTGAGGCAGCCCAATTTATAACCATGAGCCACACTGTATCTCCATGTTTCATCACACACAAAGGAGCCCTAGTGGCACACAGGGCTTGACCACAAGGTCAGCAGTTCAAACCTACCAGCCACTATGCAGGAGAAAGAGGAGGCTTTCTGCTTCCGTAAAGATTGACACCCTTGGAAACCATATACAGAGTGGTCACTATCAATCAGAACCGACTCGACAGGACACAACAACTAATATCACACATAAAGAGGGAGGGTGGTGGTGCCGGAAGATTAACACTTAAGTGTTAAAGCCCACCAACTGCTCCTGTGGACAAAGATGAGGCTTTCTGCTCCCTCAAAGATTTACAGCCTCGGAAACGCTACACAGGCTCATTATGAGTCAGAAGCAAGTCGACAGCACTTACCAACAAGAGCGTCTTACGTTGCCATTTGTCTTTCTTACTATAGTTGTCATCACACCTTTTGATACTAACTAAAAACCGACAAAACAAACGAAAGAAGGCAAACAGGGAAGGGGCACTTACTTACTGTGGACTTGCATAAGGCTGTAACTGTCCAGATACTTCTCAGTCCCCCTGACACACACATTCACTGAGAGCCCTAGAGCACCAGAGCAAGCTAGGGGTGGGAAGACAAGTCCCAAGATGATGAAACCAGTGTTAAACAGAAGTAACAAACTGTGAAGCCATTGCTTCTCAGCATATCCTCCATCCAGGATTATACACTTCTGAAGGTGGGATTTCCATAAACAAATGGACTGTGAACCACAAGGTCTGAGGTTCGAGCCTGCCAGCCACTCTACTGGAGAAAAACGAGGCGTTCTATTCCTGCGAAGACTTAAAGCCATGGAAACCCATACAGGGTCAGTCAGAGTCGGAACCGACTCCACAGCACTTAACAACAACCTTTCTCACAAAGAATCCTGTGCTCTTTGACTTACAGTTTGGGTATGCTTGAGGGACTCAAATCATGTTCTTTTGAGAAAAGAACTCTGAAAGGGATAGGATCAGAGCTTTCGGGTGGATGGGTAAAGTTTTCTAACAAATGCTTCTAGGACAGGTCCTGCTACCATCAAGAAGGAGCAGGTGCACTGTGGTGGAAGGCAATCCCTCAGGGCAGGGTCCCTGGTCTTTTTCTTTTTCTCACCAATGCAGTTTTCAAATCTCTTCATAATAAGCCCGTGAATGTCCTGTGTCCTTCAAGAACATCTATCAAAGAGTATCCCTTTTGGGATCCCAAAAACCAGAATCCATAACCTTCTGAACTGATCTCTCTGCCTTGGATGCTCAGCAGATCGTCTTAGAAGCCACTGCTTTGATTGGAGCGGTTTTGTTTTTGGAAACAGCCTAATGAAACTAAGATAAGTATATTCCTGAGAGAGGCAAGTTTAAACACAATCTGTTTGGAATAAAGCCATGCGTGCTTGAGCTGGAAACCGAGAAGCAATACTTTCAGACCTACCCTCGTATTTACTGATGGATTTCACAATGGGACCTGAACTCTAACGTGTCCGTTTTGTTTGCTGTACTCACCTGAGGTATGTAGCCTGACTCCAACATGAGAAGATGGATCAATACGATCAAGGCATCATTGGCATTCGAACAGTCAGCGGCATGGTACAGGGTCTCTAAGGAATGGGGCACTTGTCCTTCCACCGTCTCACTGCAAAGCATCGGTTCTGAGTAGTAGAAACCTGCGCCCTCTTCCATCTCCACAGCGTCTGGTACAGACTCCGCTCCAACATCACTACTAGGCCCTGGCTGAAAAGAGGAAGGGAAACGATGGGTTCATTGTGTAGGCCTTTCTTTATACACTGTGTCTTGTGTATAAGCCCAGCCCCACGCTCAGAAGTGGGAGCCCGTGAGGGAGTCCTCCCAAGTTGCTCTGCAGCTACTCCTCCCTCCAGCCTGAACTCGACTGAGCTGAGGATGCCCCCAAACCCGAACCCCAATTTCACCAGCCTTCAGAATTCCCCTCAGCCTCCGAGGGACATCAAAAAATTCAGGGAAAATAGAATTCAAACATAATGGAATTTTTCAAAGAGCAAATGGAAGTTCCCTAGTATCGCCGATCTCTAAAATCTAGCCTTTCGCCTTTGTTAGTGCGGCCCTGCTTCAGTCTCTGATCGTTTCTCTCTCAACAAGGCTCCCTACCTCCACTGTCTTGTCAACTGCATTCCACTCACTGCTGCCAGGGTGTCTGGCCACTAAGAATCAATCATGTCCTCGGTCCCAGCTCACAACCCAACAGTACATTTCCCCGATGCAGACAGGTTGCAGTGTTTCCCTGCAGTGTGTCTTAGAATGTAGCCCTAGGCGCTCTTTCTTGGGAAAAAGGAGACGGAGACCAACAACCCAGTAATTTCGGAACATGGTGCATACAACTTGTATGTGGCCACCTCACCTCATCCTCCAGCTTCACAAAACCCATTATTAGCATTATAAAAGTCTCTAAGAAGTCCAAGCGTTTTTTTAAACTGCACACAATATTCAACCAAGAACTTAGCTTTCTTCCTCACTCCGGCATCCTGGTCACACTGATTTACAATCTCAGGAAAGAAGTTTTTCATAGTCAGTCCTCTGAATAACATAAAGTCCAAGCTCCTTAGCACACAAGGCCCCTACCTTCCTCATTTGATCTCTGGTTATATGTAAAGTCTACCTTCTGCCAACACCCCCTTTGCACTCCGGTACCTCCACTTCTTCAGCTGAGGAATTCACAGTAGCACTGTGCCATGCAGGGGCCTCTACCAGTATACTGTGTCATACTGCATGGCCTTTGGTGGCACAGAGGTTAAGAGCTAACCAGCCAAAAGGTCAGCAGTTTGACCACTACCCACTGCTCTGTAAGGAAAGGTCCTGGATACAGTGGGAAAACAATGTAGATCAAAACTCAAAATCAGACGGTGGCAGAGATGAGGACACGGAGAGAAGGAACAGCTGAGGACTCTAGACTCATGGAAAGAGAGGGGCTGGGTGTTGGCAGCCAGGAGGCAGGCTTGCAGAATGTGCCCTTTGGTTGTTTAAATTATTACACATTCCTGAGTGTTTTTGTGTACATACCCCCTACCCCCAAAAAAAGAAAGAATGGAAGCAAATACTGTTGAATGATGATGCATGGAGATTTTAATCACTGCAATGAAACGATGGTGTAAAGCCGATATTTTCCCATGTAAACTATCACTTTAATTGTTGTTGTTACATGCCATGGAGTCGGTTCCAACTCATAGTGATCCTGCATATAGGGTTTCCGAGGCTGTAAATCTTGATGGGAGCAGAAAGCCTCATCTTTCTCCCGCGGAACAGCTGGTAATTTACAACTGATGAGCGTGAGATTAGCAGCCCGATTCGCAACCACAACGCCACTTTAAAAGTTTACATTAAAAAAATGGTTTATTTTTTCACAACTTAAAAAAAAAACAAAACCTCAAAATCATAAAATAATGAAAAGGGTAAGGTTTACTGGTAGGACAGAGACTGGAGGAACCCTGTTACTGTGGCCCTTACTCAGCCTTCAGGTCTAACAGTGAACTCTCTCCTGAGGCTCAGTTCTCACCCAAGGAATAGGTCTGTGAGGATAACAGTAGCACTAGGCAAGCGCACACACCTTACAACCACCAACCATCTGAGAGCTAGAGGACAGCACTTACTCAGGGACCAAGTTCAGAAGGGTGAGGAAAGGAAACAGGAAATGCAGGGAGGAAGTGGAATCAGTGAGGTTACACAGTGAGACTGCAATCGGTGAGATGAAATAAAACATCTATCAACTGAATGTAAAACTGATGAAGTGCTCTGTAAACCTTCACACCCAATGGCAATGGGACACAGGGAATTACAACTGTTGAAGGATACATGTGCACCCCACCCTGACAGCAAGCTCAGAAAGGAGAAGGCTTCAAGACTCTCACGTTTATAATCAATATCACACCTGGCACAAAATTGTTGTTGTTATTGTTGGTAAGTACCATGGAGTCAGTTCCAACTCAGAGAGTCCCTGTACAGGGTTTCCGAGGCTGTAAATCGTTACAGGAGAAGAAAGCCTCATTTTTCTCCCACAGAACAGCTGGTAGTTTCGAACTGCCGACTTTGAGGTTAGTAGCCCAATTCATAACCACTAGTACTCAATAAATACTTGAACAAATGATGAAAGGTAGTACTTAAAAATTTCTTAATGTTTTGTTTTCAACATATTTGCTCCTTACAACAATCCTATAAAACTGGCAAGGCAAATGACATCACCTTTTTAATGATTTTTAAGTGTTGCTCTGAAAAGATTTAATACCTCAATCAAGGATATTGTTGTTGTTGTTGTTGTTGTTAGGTGCCATCGAGTCAGTACCGACCCATAGCAACCTTATGCACAGCAGAACGAAAACACTGCCCAATCCTGGGCCAACGTCACTATTGCTGCCACACTTGAGTCCACTGATGCTGCCATTTGGCCAATCCATCTCGTTGGGGGTCTTTCTTCTTTTCCTCTGACCCTCCACCTTACCAAACATGATATCCTTCTCCAGCAACTGCTCCCTCCTGACAAAATGTCCAAAGTATGAGAGACAAAGTTTGGCCATCTTGGCCTATAAGGAGCACTCTGGCTTCACTTCTTCCAAAACGGACCTATTGGTTCTTTTGGCAGCCCATGGCACTTTCAACGGTCTCCTCCAACACCACAACTCAAAGGATACTAGCTAATAAAAATCTGAAATGAAGCCAGACCTCAGGCTCCAGGCTCAGCTCTTTTAAGACACATGTACACTGCTTCAATAAACTGTTACCTAGCTTGATTTCCTGGTTCAAACTCACCAGTCACTTCTTGGAAACCCTGTACAAGGGCACTATGAGTCAGAACCAACTTGAGGGCACTTAACAACAACAACATCTGGATTTCCTAAGCATGTGTTCAACTAAATACAGAGCAGGTGTCTTTTTGTGTGTGTTCCTATTTTCCCCTGAAGATGAGGCAGAGGAAATTTAAACGGTTTGAACTTTTGCAAGGTTGGAGACACAGAAGGGAGACACAGGTGATGTGGTACTACTTCCGAAATCCCTGAGGCCCTACTGCCTTTTACAGAAAAGATCTCAATTCACTTCTCAAAACCTAGAGGACTGTGACCGTTCATACCGCTTAGAAAGGAGGCATGGCACAAAACCACTGCCACCTCATTTTTGAGCAAAGAGAAAGCTCTACTGCATTTTGAAAAAAAGAAAAAAGGCCTAGCTAAATTATCAAGTAGACGTGATCTGTACTTCTGTACCTATTATGGCTCATTCTGGACCATTTACTACCTAATGACAATGGTGTGAGACTGAATATTTGAGGTTTTTTTTTTTTTTTCAATGGTGAGCATCTCTCTGAACAAATTGTTTTGCAAAAGATTGAAACAAGGGGCCAATATTAGGGTGTGATGCCATGTTATCCACACTTCTCACTAAAGATTCAACAGATACTGAACTCCCATGAACAATGTAACAGGAAAAAACCTGCCTGAGTAAAAATGTGCCCCCCTTACTGTTTCACGTTTTACCCATGTACTTTCCTTATCTCATGCTCCATTCTACATACAATTAACCAGTCCTACGGTTTCAAATACATAAAGCCCGGTGAAATTTCAAGCTCAGTTTCCGTATTAACAGAACCTTTGTGGTGCTGTGGGTTAAGCACTGGGTTGCTAACCATAAAAAAAGTCAGCAGTTCAAACCCACCAGCTGTTCTGCTGGAGAAAGATGAGGCTATCTGCGTCCATAAAGATTTAGTCTCAGAAACATGATGTTGGGTTGCAATGAGTCAGAATCAACTCTATGGAGTGGGTTTCGTTTTTGGTTTTTTGCACCATGAATGTTGTTGTTGTTAAGTGTTGTCGAGTCGTTTTTGACCCATAGCAACCCTGTGTAGGCTTTCCAAGGAGCAGCCGGTGAGCTTGAACCGCCAACCTTGCAGTTCAAACTGATTTTGCAGTCTGGCGTATTAACCCACAGCGCCACACTTACAAATATTTAAGAACCATAAAAAAGTTGATGTGCTATGTATAAACACAGAATACAATTAACAAGATGGCATACAAGGGGACTTCAAAAAGTTCATGGAAAAATTGAACGAAAAGATCATGGAATTCTCCCAGGAACATGGAAGCCTGCTCAGACATATCAGTGTTACCAAAATTTAAGTAATGAGCTTAATAATTTAGATCACATGATCCTATAAAAAACTATATGATAAAATAAAAGGCAGGATAAGAATGACTGAAGTGTTTACAGGCAATAAAGACAATCAATATAAAGATATTAAGGAAAATTAACAGGCTACAGTTGGCCAAAGACTCAGAAGTCAGAAGTACACATGGCAGAGGGAGGAAAGGGAGTGAGACCCAGGCTGGGTGGACGGCAAGAGAAAAGGCCTACAAGCAGTCATTAGGTGCGGGTACATACACATGGCCAACAGAGGGAAAACGGAAGGGAATCGGTCTAACCGGAGATGACAGTTTACAGGAGGAAAAAGAAGAAAGTAACCACAGAAAGGAAAGACAAGGGGGTTGAGTTTTCAGAAAGTCTTCAAAACTAAGTAGCGGAAGACAGACATTCTCCTCCTCTATAAAATGAAAGTGTTGAACTAGGGATATTACGCCATTCCTTATTCTACAATGACGAACGTTGGTACATCCAGGAGACAGAGTTACTACAGTACAAGGGATCAGCATAGCCCAAAGCATGAAGGGAGGAGGTAAACCCAGAGAGCTGACTGGAGAACAGAGACGTGAGCTAGAACACAGAGGAAAACTGAAATGTGTGCTGAATGACTGCGTACAAGGATGGCATGTTGTTGTGAAGTGTTGTCGAGTCGGTTCTGACTCACTGCAATCCCGTATAGGGCTTCTGAAGAGCAGCTGGTGCGTTTGAACTGCTGACCTTGAGGTCAGATACAAGGAAAGAGTTAGAAATGAATCCAAGGTTGTGAGCTCAGGGAAACGGTAGAGCCCCTATTAGAGGAGGGTCGTGGGCTTGAGAAGAGGAACATCAGCACACATGTTTCCAAATTTATGTTGGACAGACAGCCTGAGGTGACAACTCCCAAAAAAAAAAAACAAAAAACAACCAGGTATAAATGCTCTGCAATCCATTTGGGAACTATAAGAGGGACCTTCCAAAAAAATTAGTGTAAAAATTCCACAAACGTTTTTGAAGCGTCTATGTAGCCTGAATGGAGCCTTGGTGGTGGAGTGGCTAAAGCACTCAGCTGAGAACCGAAAGGTCAGCGGCTCAAACCCACCAGCCGCTCTGTGGGAGAAAGTTACGGCATTCCACTTCCATAAAGGTTTACACCTTTGAAAGCCGATGGGGCAGGTCTACTTTGTCTTTTGGGTCACTCTGAGTCCAGTTCAACTCAACAGCAAAAGGTTTAGGTTTGACACATTGACACACCCTTAAGAAGGTCCTCGGGTGGTGCGCACAGTAAAGTGCTTGGCTACTAATCTAAAGGTTGGCTGTTCAAACCCATCCGGCAGTGCTGCAGAAGAAAGGCCTGGTGATCTGCTTCAGCAAAGATCACAAGAAACCCTATGGAGCACAGCTCCAGTCTGTACCATAGGAAGTCGCCATGAGTCTTACTAAGCAGAGCAGACCACAGAAGCAAAGCTGGGAATCAAGAGCTTGGAGGCAGCAACAGAAACCAAGGGATAATTCATCTCAAAGAGTTGTCAGAACAAAACCAACAAGCAGGCAAAAACCGGGTACCTCGAAACTGGTGCAGGCATCTAGCAAGGGGAAAAAAAATTCTGTATGGATAGTAATACATCATCTACAGATGAGAGTTATCCTGTCTGGTCTAGAAATCAACCAACGTGTTCGATAAGTTAACGACCCTCTCCCATGTCTTGGTCTTTAGCACTCACCATACTGTCATCATTCCAGAGATCAGATTGGGCTGCCTGTCCTGAGAATGAATCACTCAGTGGTTCATCTTGTTTGCTGGACTGGTTGGAGCTGGCGGCCAAAGGGGGTTGGTCATTATTCTGGAGTGAGGAATGCTCTGAATCTGTGGATGAAGGTAAGTTAGGTGCTGGAATGGCATCTTCAAGAACCAAACATATCAAGTCCCCAGAAACAATCCCATATGAAGCCAAGGTCTCTTCATCTCCAGTGAGGGCATCCTTGTTGTTCAATGTAATTGCAAACCGGGTATCAGAACTGCCAAGAAAGACGGATAAGGACAGTAAGAGCTACCTGTTACCATCACCCTCAATAATACAGTTGGAGCACATTTAAGGTACATTTAACGGCCCTAGATGGACTAAGCAACACAAAATAAACAGAGAAAAAGAGAGGCCAAGTATCAAAATGATCTGTAAGTGCCTTTGTACATTGTTTTATTAAAAATTGAGTGATTTAATTATATTCTGTCAACCTCAAAACAGTCCTTTTTCAAGTAAATGATGTTTTCCCCTCCTTCATGTGTGTACCCCCTGCCCCAGGTTACAGATTGCTAATGACTAAAACTCTATCCCAAAGGATGTTGTTGTTGTTGTTAAGTGACATCAAGTTGGTTCCAACTCAGAGAGATCCCATATAGGGTTTCCAAGAAGCTAATGACTAAAACTCTATCCCAAAGGATGTTGTTGTTGTTGTTAAGTGACATCAAGTTGGTTCCAACTCAGAGAGATCCCATATAGGGTTTCCAAGAAGCAGCTGGCGAGTTTGCACTGTCGACCTTGAAGTTCAAACCGACCTTTCGACCTTTCGGCCCAGTGCTTACCCTATGGTGCCACACCAGGTGATGCATAAAATATGTTAAAATAACAGAATCTAGGATTACACACTTCTTACATTTTACTGTCTTGAAACTGGGATACTTAACACGTGTGCCCTGGCAGTTTAACCTCCAGCATTACTCTCTAAGTTTACAGACATAAAACAATGTGCATCTTATGATGGACGGCAACTGAGATCCAAGGAAATCGGGTCTTTTTAAAAAGCAACTTAGATCAGATCATCTCTCTGCTCAAAACTCCCCAGCGGCCTCTAGGTGCACTTGGAATAAAATCCTGAACAACCTGTTCACTGTCCTTTATGGTTTGCCTGCCCACCTCCCTCTCTGAGCTGTCCATCCTCTGGCTCTGTTCCCTATACATAGGCATTGTCTGTCCGTTTCTCAAAGCACAGCTACCGCCTTGAGGCCTCTGGGATTTTGCACTTGCTCTTCCAGACCCTGAAATGCCTGGCTCCTTCTCACGGTTCAAGTGACCCCTCCTGCTTTAGGGAAGCCTTCTACCCTGTCTCTATCACTCTATTCGACCCAGGAGTGTTTTGTTTTTATTGTAATACCACTATCTGAAAACATCCTATTTACCCGTTAGAATGTAAATTTCTTAAGATCAATAGCTTATCTGTCCAGCACCTGGTAAAGAAGCAGTGCTTAAGCACTGGGCTGCTGACCTCAAGGTCAGCAGTTCAAACCACCAGCCACTCCATGGAAGAAAGAGGTTGTCTGTTCCCATAAAAATTTAAACAGTTTCAGAAACCCTAAGGAGCAGTTCTACCCATAGCTATGAATTGGAATTAACTCGATGGTCATGGGTTTTCTTACACATCTATGGGATGGTGGTGGCTGTGTGCTGTGGAGTCGATTCCGACTCATAGCGACCCTGTAACGGGTTTCCGAGGCTGTAAATCTTTACGGAAGCAGAAAGCCTCTTCTTTCTCCCACAGAACAGCTGGTAGTTTCGAACTGCTGACCTTGCGGTTTGCAGCCCGATTCGTAACCACTACGCTACCAGAGCTCCTTTAGGTGCTACCAAAAGTTAATTAACTGGGAATAACCCTGATGAAACTGGAGTCAGGACTGCCTATCCAATATCCTAGCAGATAGTTAGCATACTTGGCTTCCAAAACCTAAACCCACATCCTAAATGAATATTCATAATCATAAAAGTTAGACAACTGAGCACAGTTATCCCTCCTACTGCTGGTGACCCTTCCTACTGATGAAGCCTTGTGATGTTTTTTACAGAGAAGACAGCAAAAATCCAAAATCTCACTGCTAATCCAGCTAAGAGCTCAAACAAGCCCTAAGCAATACACTCTCACTCTTTCTGCAGCACAGGCTTTGCAAGAATAACCATCATTTCATCACAAAGGTGATAAGGAATAAGTTACAAAATTATCGTAAAAGATTTCATAAGACCATTTACACTTAGGAATGCTCATTTTATTAACATTTTTGGTCTTTAACAATGGATAAAGTCCTTTGAAAGCCTCCTGTTTTGTCTTACATTTTTTAAAAGCGCATTTTTTTAAAGTGTTCAGGATGATTTCTTTTTCTTTCCTCTGTAAGCACCTTTTTTCTTACCAATTTAAAAAAAAAAATCTTTGGTAGCGAAACGACTGGAAGAGAAATTACAGAAAACAAGTGACTCTGCTTCTGTTTTCAAAAATGTTTTGATAAAATGTTGAAAATCTGCCAGCTGCCCATATAACCACCACTCCAACTTTGGCAGAAAAAGGAAAAATATTTCAAGGGAACTTCAGGTGCTGATGGATCACATTTAAGTCTAGAGTATAATGTGGATGTATGCTCAACTACCTATTTGTAGAAAAGGCAAAATAACTGTCCACTTAAAACAAGTATCAGCCTCTCTTCATCTTTTAAAAACAGGGATGAGCCATTTTCTAAAATAACACACAGTTTTTAGAAGGAGGACTAAAACAGTTGTTTTTGAAACTGTTCTGTCTTCTGAACTTAAACTTTCACTTCATGAGAAAACAAAATCCTAGAAACTGCAGGGTTTTTCATAGAATCTTTATAATCCCAAATTCATTTGCTCAGTGGATACTTTTAAAATAACATTGCCATACGTACAATTTTTAAATTGCCCATTTGCTATAAACTGAAATACTTTCAGAAGATCTCATTTACTTTGTCATAAGCTAAAGCCTCAACTACAAAAAGGAATCAAAAGAGAAACTAACTTAGGCTCCTGACTCACAAAAGTCACATTGGGTTTTCACACTCTTTCAAGATTATCCTGTCTGATTAAAATTTAAATAAATGAATGTTTATTTATTTATGTATGTTGTGTTGTTAAGTGCAGTCTAGTAGGTTCAGTCTCATAGTGACCCTGTATAGGGTTTCCAAGCTATAAATACTTATGATGAACAGAAAGCCTCCGCTGAGAGCGGCTGGTGGGCTGGAACCACCGACTCTGGTTTGCAGTCCAGCGCTTATCCTACCAAGTCACTGCACCCAGATATATATACATGAAAACAGCTTGGAAAGACAACCTAATTTTGAAATTTTATGAAGGAGTAATGACGGTAGCAAGCAAAACACTAAGGTTTTATGCAAGTCACTTATGTTTATGCATGCGGGTCACTTAATAAACTATTTTAAAGGACTTATGTCAATACCTCATTTTTAAAAATTTTGGGGAAAACAAGCTTGTTTTTCATCTAAAAATGTCTTGAGAAAGGAAAGAGTGAAAAGATCATAATATGGTCTCACTTTTTTGAATTCCCTAAAAACAAGCTAGAAGCTTGTAACAGAACCACTTCAATTAACAAGGCTTTCTCTCAAAGGGTTCCCCCAAAATGCCCAGCCCCTGGACCAGGAAACATTTATTTTGTCTTAGCTCAAATTCAAAGTTGACACATTCCGAATGAATCACCATTCTTTTGTCCTCTACTCCCTGATGACTGTCCCCAAAAAATTCCTTCGAAGGAAACAAAGCCTCAGCCGCCACCCCATCAATTATTAACGGAATTAGAACCTTTACCGCTCCACTTCACTGTTCTAAAACTGTCAGACCCAGAGTTTTAACAAAGAAGCAACATCTCGCCCAAGAAAAGAAAATGATGTGAAACACTTCTACACGCTGCATTTTCTGAAATTCTGCAGCGGTGCCTGGCACATAGCCCCTAACAGTCTTAAATACAACAGCGGTACAACTTCTAAGTGGCTTCGGGTGGAAGGTATAGGTGTGTAACTTGTATTGTTGTTGCTGTTGGGCCATCGCATCACTCCCGACTCCTAGTGACCCCTCTATAGGGTTTCCCAGGAGCAACTGGTGCGCCTGAACCAGACCTTGCGGTACAAACCAACTCTGCAGTCCAGCACATTGACCCGCAGTACCACACCAATATGTGCCAAACTTTTGCACTGCAATGCTCCAGGTGCAGAGAGTGAACAGAAATCCCCGGAGTCTGGAAATCCAATCCAAATCCATCATTTTCAAGTTTACATTTTAAAATCCTGAGAACTGTACGTTAGTCCCAGCCAGGATTTCAAGGACTTTAAAATTGGAGTCTGTCACTTACCCTGGAGGGGATCGGAGGCTCGAGGCTGGGCCATGGGTGCCTGCAGCCGGGACCCCCACGCTCCGCTCCCGAGGCAGCGCGCCACTCGGGTGCGCCAGGAGCGCTCCGGAACGGCCACGCCCCCGGAGCGCCAAGCGCTCACGTGACAACCGGGGCGTCCCCGCCGCCCCCCCCCCACCCAAGCCTCGCGGCGCCACCTCGAGATAACCCACGCAATCGCTAACACCCCACCCCGGTCGTCCCCGCGTACCTGTACCCCCAGGTGGGCAAAAGGACCTGACCCAGGTGCGCGCGCAGCTGGCCCAGCGTCGGCTCCGCTTCCGGCATCTCCAGCGGCCCAGTCCGCTTCTGAAGCCGGACTCGCAGCTTCATGGTGGCGGCGGGAGGACCCAGGGGCCTGAACCCGACGGTCGCGACAGTGGCGATGGCGGGGCTGAGTAGCTCCCGCCTTCACTGGCGACCCCGGAGCGGTGACTACCGGCGCTCCGGCAGTGCTGAGATGTAACGGGGAAAAGACGCCGCCACCGCCGCCAGGCGTTCGCCTCTGGAACATGGGCGCTCCGCCCCTCCTACAAGGGCGCCCCCTTGAGCCGACCCGGAAAGCGGGCGGCGAGCGGCCAGCGATGAACCCAGCCGCCTGGGGCGTTCTGATCCACCACTCGGCGCGCGACGGTGCTACCTGGGAGCGCTCGGCTTCCGGGCCGTCCGGGCGCCGGGTCGGAGCTGGCGGCGCGCTGGGAGGAGCACACCGCGCAGGCGTCGTGACCGCCGAGGTGCCATGCGTCCCGGAGGCGTTTGTGCTTCCATCTCTTCCTTGTGCCTTGAAAACGCATTCTTGCTGAAAGGGATGCCTCGTACTGTACAACCACTTCCCACGGCTCCTGTCTACCGAATTCGTACCGCATTTCCTACATGGCAAATTCCTGTTCGTTCTTCAGCGCCCAGTCTTAGTGGCACCTATTCGGAGACGCCCTTAAGTTGAGCCCTGGCGTCTGGAGCTCCCTCTTGTGTGTCCGCAGCGCTTTGTTCAAATAGAATTGAATGGAGTAACGTCAAAGCGCTGAGCATTGTCATAATTGGACTCCCCAGTTACTCTGTTTACACCATCCTGTTACCTTCTTTGTTGTTAAGTGTCGGATCCTACTCACAGAGACCGGTGGACTACTGCCGACCTTGTAGATGGCAGTCAAGTGCTTACCCCACACCAGTTACCTTCTTCGTTGCTGTGGTTACATGCTGTTGAGTCGGTTCCGACTCATAGCGATCCTCTAGGGTTTCAAGCGGACTCGACGGCACTTAACAACAATAGGCTTTACGAGGAGTAGCTGGTGGGTTTGAACCATCGACCTTGCGGTTCAAACCGACTTTGCGGTCCAGTTCAAAGCTGCAGCACCACACCAGAACTCCAGTTATCTTCTCCCTTCTCGGTGCTCCAGCTATCTAGGGAGGAGCAGAGAACCCCCTCGCTCTGCTATGCAGATCAAAACATTCTTTAAAAAATCAGTTCTCTAAGAAGGGGGGGCAGACAACCCTGCGCCTGTGATTTTCTGCATACCACACTTAACTGCCCTTGACTCATGAAGCGTTTAAACCCCATGATATAAAAAGACCCTAGTCCATGCCTCTGGCAAGGAAGAACTTCACTGCCCAGCCTGTCACCACTAGAGACAACTGTTTTCTTTTTCACCCTTTTCAGTAATCCATACTGAAGGCTGTGCTCTTTGATCTTCATAAGTAAATGTTTTAAGTCCTCTTCACTTTCAGCAAGCAAGATTGCATCATCTGCATATCGCAGGTTGTTAATGAGTCTTCCTCCAAGCCTGATGCCACGTTTTTCTTCATAGAACCCAGCTTCTCGGATGATTTGCTTAGCATACAGGTTGAATAAGTATGGTGAAAGAATACAATCTTGTCGCACACCTTTCTTAATTTTAAACCATTCAGTGTTCCCATGTTCTGTTCAAACAAGTGCTTCTTGGACTTATACCTGCATCAGGACTTATACATGCCTAAATGTACATGCTATTTGACCTTTTCCCATCTTCCATACACTGTTATCTATCTATAAACTCGGAAAGTAAGGGCAGTTAATTATGGTATGCAGAAAATCACAAGGTGCAAGGTTGTCTGCCCCCTTCCTAGAGAACTTTTTTTTTTAATGTTTTGTTGTGAATTATGTGATAGTTTACATGGGAGAACATTAGCATTACATTCATCCTATCGCAT